AACTTCATAAATTAATTAAATGCTAATTTCTGTTTTATATTAATTTCAAACAAAAATAAATAATCTGTGGGATGTCTGTGAAGCGATTGTAATTTTGCGATAGGGTGTGGTTTTTGTGCAAAACAATTAAAAAGTTAACTATTAAAAGCTTTTTTAGATTCATTTTAACATCGGCTACCAATGACCGCCTCTTTATTTTATAATTCGAATTTGGAGCCCGTCCCGTCCCGCCCCTTCTTTGTCTGGCAACACCGATATTTATTGGCTGCATATTCCGTTACATGCACGATTATTACATCACGATTTAGATTCGAGGCGGATAAATTAGTCACGATTAGTCTGCTAGCACTAGATTTAAAAAAACTGTGTGAAAATTACATTAATAAAATAAGTGTAGGTAGGTATGTACCTAAATTTGCATCAACGTCAATCACCGAAGAAAATCGACAATAATAAAGCATCTCACTGTCACAGATAGATTTTTTTTATGGAACCTGTTCCATAAAAGAAATGCTTCCTAAGGCAAACGAGTGTCGCGGAGAACCTAACGGGTAACCGGGGCTCCGGCTCGACGTGCAGGAGAAGGAACGGGCTGGTTTTTAGTCAGTAAGAGTCTGACACTCCCTCCCGCCTCACCCAGGCGGGAGCAGTCATTCGATGATTTTCCCCCCGTAAAAAAAAGGCAAACGAGTCGACGGATCTCCTGATGGTAAGCGATCAGCATCGCCCGTGGACAACCGCAACACCAGAGGAGTCACAGGTACGTGACCATTTCTACATTTTTATTGCAGATCCCTTACTATTCAACCTATTTGGAAGTAATTGGGGGAAGCCCGTGTTCAGCAGTGGACGTCGTACTGTGGCTGATAGGTACTGAAGATGATTGCTTTAATTCAGGTGAGTTGTTGGTACCTACTCCTTGCTTATTCTATGCAAATTATTTTCTCAATGCTTTACAGTAATTAAAACAATTATTATTGTAACACTTGCTTAATAAGCACATGTCAATATTTCATTGTCATTACACGAAGCTGTAATTTGCATAAAAATTGTAATGCAATTTTTCCTTGTAGGATCGCCATGTTTGCGTTTAAAAAAGTCTTGAAAGACTTTTATATTGTCTTTTGCATTATTATTTATGTCTGGTTTTCCTAGGTGCATGTGCATAATATTAATAAAATGGCTGATTAGTAATACGTAAATACAATAAAAATGGTAAAATAAAACCTCACTCTTACGCAGAAACGAAGATCTTGGCAAAATGAAATACTAATGCAAAATCAGATATAAAATAGGTTTCATTTTGTTTTCTAAGGTAAGGTAGGTTTTAAGATATTTCCCAGATCAAAAATACAGTTTGCATCTAAAGTAGGTAATCAAACCTTACAATACAGAAAACAGCTCATAGATAGGCCATGGTTAAACAACGACGTCATAGATACGGGAACTTTACACCTCAATCTCTTGAATAATCTTTATACGTACAACGGCTGCATATCGAGATAGATACAAAACCAGTTTATCATGATCTCGCTTCTTATAATCTTTCGGAACATTCGACGGTCAATTTATACTGGTTATGTAAAACTAGTGTAGTCATGTGTGCTTACGTACCTAAATATACAACAATAAATAAAGTTCATTGATCAAGATTTTATCAGCATTCAGCGAGGCTTTTCGATGCGGATTTAAACCATGGTCATTGGTGCCTCGTAATCTTGGCACTATGACGACATAGCTTGATGACTAATGCTTATAAAATAACATTAAGGTAATGTTGTTACAATTTGGTATGTTACTGTTAAACGTAAGTTTAATATCATTAACTGTTGATCTAATTGTTTTTAAGTGTGGGAGACCCATGCTTCGGTACGAATGGGCCGACTTGACCGGAGTGATAACACGGCCTCACAGAAGACCGACGTGAAACAATGCTTGCGTTGTGCTTCATCCTGTGAGTGACGTTACAGGAGGCCCAATTACCACCTCTCCCCAGTCTCCCTAATCCCCAAATTCCCCACAATCCTCCAATTCCCAAAAGGCCGGTAATGTGCTTATAACGGCTTGGTGTTCCAGGTGTGCACGGGCGGGGCCGATTGCTTAAGTACTATCAGGTGATCCATCTGCTGGTTTACCGGTGTCTCCCAAAAAAAAAATTGGCAATATTTCTAACTAGCATAATTTTTTGCCCGCAGTTTCACTCGCGTAGTCAACTCAAAACCATAATTTTGGCACTTACTTACCGAAACACAACGAGAGCGTTGTTTCACGCTATTTCACGCTAGCTTTCTGTGGGATCGCGGTATTACTCTGGTCGCGTCAGCTCATTCATGCTAAAACATGGCTCTTTCTTATAAACTTAAAGTTAAACAGTTAATTAAGACTTAGTCGTAGGTACCTTTCTAATAAACGTTGCTATGACCATGACTGTTATAAAATGGTGATGATATAATCAAATTAATAAATGGCTGTTGTTAAATAGGAAGCGGAAATAAGTTTCAATCAAAGTTATGTTGTGAATCTGAGTTGCGATCATTTGGGTGCACCTAATGACCTTGTCGTTTGGTACTACGATTGTTATAATTTAACGCGAGTGATTCTTATTTATTGCTTTAATTAAGAAATAATTTATTTCTATCAATCTGCTGAATCAGTGTTAAATTTTCTATCTTAACTTATTTGATGTTACTTCCTGCGTATTAGGAGGAATCTGATTAAATCAACTATGTTCTTGTAAATTTTGTCGATGAATGTTTCAATGTTCAGAATACTGCACTATTACCGCCAAGAACCGGAAACGGATGCACAACATAATTTTTTTTTCTGCAGTTAAATAAACTCCGGTATTTTTGCCCGTAAAACTTTATTCATCTGATTGTTTTGCTCCATAATATTCATATAATCCACATTAAAGAAAGTTAACTAAAACACGATTTATTATTATTTTTGTCTCAAGAATTTTTTAGGACCTCTTTATTATTTGAAAATATTTTAATTTTCTAGCAACATTTCAAGTGAAATGTCATGTGACGTGCCAACGTTGACATTAATACGGAGTATGTTTTCGCTTCGCGTTTTGTCAAATAAATGGTCAAGTTGTTAATAGACGCGTTTCTTATTGGCTATCGTTATGTATAAAACTTCTGATCCAATAAGAGAATTTCTTGAATAAAATTGATACAGCAAAAACATACTGTGTCAATCCCGCAATAAAGTAGGTGAAATGTGATTGAATTTGTGTAAAATAATCTAATTAAATAAGTTAATGAGCTAGTTTAGTTGATAACATCGTCAAGAAATAGATAACAGGTAACCTAAAATTTGTATATTTTACTAAAATATCATAGATATAAGGTGTTAAAAATTGCACAGTCAGCCGTGCTATTCGATGCAGTAAAAATAAAAAATATAAATTTAGATTACCTTGAGACCTATTTTGAACTAAATTTGCGCCGTAGATAGTATATAAATCAAATATAATATCTAATACTAAGCTATAGTTGGCTTAAAACATTACCTTTTAAATTTATTCATACAATTTAAATATTTATTTGTCTGAAGTTTATTAGACTCTTAGTAGGTGACTTTGCATGTATAGGTTATTGGGGACAGTAGTAGAAACACAAGTAACACCCGTGAACTAGACCTGAAACCATACAAATTGTAAAACAACCTTGTAAAATAGATAAGATTACCTTCTACTTGTTTAACTAAGAATTAGGGATATTTTCTGTATTTGTATAACAAAAACTAATTTAAATTCATAGTACAACATATTCACCTCAATGTAGATAACATTGATGTATATTTTTCCTGGTGTTTAGTTACCTTCTTTTAACTTTAAATCATCTATAATTCATAAACTTGTACTGTCATAAACAAGACTTTATATACTGTTCTATTCAACTCTGTTCTGTATTTGTGGACTAATTTTTAGTAATTACATCACAAACTAAATAAAATTTGCAATAAATAAAATTTTATTAGATAAGATCTAAATATTAAGGTGTATTGTAAAATTGTCTGTGGTTCGAATAAAAAAAAAATGTATAACATACACTAGGATGAAATTTAAAAGTAGAAATATGTTCAACTAGAGCAAGTTGCTTGTAAGTTGTTCTATTATAATATACATACATTTAATAAACAAAACAGGAAAAACTATTCATTCCTTCATGCAAAGGTACATACATACCTAAGTTTTATAGTGTGATATCACACCAGTAATTTCTTTGAGGAAGTTATCATGTGTTTTAACCCCAACATCCATTGCCCATGATTTGTGTGAATAGAGTTTGAATAAATTACTGTTCTGAGACTCATCATCAATAGCGTTTAAATGCCCACTGCTGAGCAAAGCCTCTTCTCACACGGAGAAGGTATGAGCATTAATTACCCTGCTTGCTCAATGTGGGTTGGCAATTTAAAACTTATAATTATAAATTATAAGCTCAGGTTTCCTCACAATATATTCCTTTACCGTTTGTCAGTGGTGTCTAAATAATCTTAAAAAGAACATATAACTCAGAAAAAATCATATTGGTACTTGCCATTGGTAGTGTAGTTCGGGGACTAGCTTGTTCTAAGCAGTGGAACTACTAGAAGTAAATAAAATTCCTGATGTTAATGAAAAATTCAAAGTTATTGTTACATGCACCATTACCCATAAAATATTTTGAAATGAAAATGTGTAACTTATCAGACTTTAATTATCACGCCCAATCACACAATCAAAGTCAAATCACTTATTTCAATTAGACTTAACTGGGGAAGATGCAAGCGGTCACCGGTGATCACTCTCCACTTACATTATAGACCTTATTCCCGATGTTTAGAGACTAGTTTTGTATAAACAAATGTTGTGGATTTTTCTTAATTGGACATTTACAAGTTAAGAAAATACTTTTGATTATCAAACAAAGTATTTGAGTTATAAACAAAAATGTAACCAAAAAATAAAGTAGTAGAACTCAAAATTTATTACATTTTCTAGATACAAAATGCGGTGGGTGCTATTATCAGTGTTTGTGCTGCTATGCAGTACATTAGTGGCCCATGCGTTTGAGGACCAGGCTCTCGAAGACGATGACTTTGCAGAGTTTGAGCAGTTCGAGGCTGAGGATGATGAACTGATTGCTGGTAGGTGTAAAAGTACTATGTTAACTAAAATCGCGGGTTACTCACGTCACGAAACTAGTAGAGCTTTTCTCAGTATATTCACGTGAGTAACCCGCGATTTTTGTTAATTTAGTATGTCTCACGATAGTTATTATAAATACATAAGTACTATTTATTAATAAATGTCACAATATTCACATAGATTAATTATGTAGTTTATATGACAGACCAATGTTCAAATTTTTCTTCATGCCCATAATTAGTACAAAAGTGGGCTTAATGCCATGGACATTCTTCTCCAGCCAGACATTTGGGTGATGCATTCAGGCGTATTCAGGAACAACAATAATCAGTAAACAGTAATAGTCATTATTAGGTATATGACACAACAATATATAAGAAATATGAATATTTTTCAGATTTCGCTGAGGATAAGGAGCTTCCTGCTTCAAAGCCAATAAAGAGTGCATCTCAGGAGCAGTTTGAAGCCAATGTCGAGACTGAAGACGAGATATTAGTTGAGGTATATTTTATACAAGTACAGCCCTATTATAGTCATATGGTTTATTTTTCTTTGTTCAGAAATAAGTTATGTTTTTATACTAAAAATAAAACTGGCTTCTGCCCGCGACTTCGTACGCGCAATCCCGTTTGCTCCCGTTCCGATTTCTGTCGTAAGAACCTTCTCCTGAAAATAACAAACACAAAAAAAAAGATCAACCAAATCTGTCTAGCCGTTCTCAAGTTATGGTGTGACAAATGGAAACGGGTTTAATTTATATATATATAGATAAATAGTGAAAAGTGGGTGTTACATTGTACAGTGGCATTGAGTGCCGTAATGTGCACTATTACCTACTCCTTCGGGGATAAAAGACATCACGTCTTTTATCGGGTTTATTTTAAAGAAAAAATGTCACTTATATAAAACATCATTAAAGACAAGCACTCATGTTAATCAGGCCTAATCGCTAGTTTCTTCATTCATTCCAATCAGTCATATTTTATTCAAGGATAAAAATTGAAGTTAATAGTAAGACTAATAGTAAGGCTAGTGCTGAAAATCAGCGCCGCGACACGGCACTTTAGCTGAGCACTGGCCTTTTTGCACCGTGTGCATACATTGTTCTGTTTTTTTTTAAACTATTTTCTATAATTTTTTTTATGGCATAAGCCGGTAAACGAGCAGACGGATCACCTGATGGAAAGCAATCGGCGTCGCCCATGGACACCTGGAACACCAGAGGCGTTACAAGTGCGTTACCGGTCATTTGGGGATTAGGAGTTTGAGGATCGTTGGGGATTCAGGGATTGGGGAGATTGGGGAATGGTTGAGTAATTGGGCCTCCGGCAACCTCACTCACACGACGAAACACAACGCAAGCGTTGCTTCATGTCGGTTTTCTGTGAGGCCGTGGTAATGCTGCAAATAAAGTGGCATGTCAGTAAAATATATTTTTATTTCCCTCAGGATGAAGACAATGAGTTTGAGCACTTCCAAGACCCTGAGGAGTTCGAGGGTTTCCAAGACAATACTCCTCGAAGCTCCGAACAGCCAAAGATCACTATTTCTAAGGTAAGTTCATTTAATCTGGTCTGCACGGTTGGCGCGGTGGCTGGGCAACTGACTGCCGCGCAACGTGTAACGGGTTCGATTGCCGCATGGAGCTACTCTCTGTTTATTAGTATTGTTACTCACGTAATAGTTTGACGAGGAACTCGACTAGTTTCAAGCCATGCTAGAGGCGACACGGCGACTATAGTAGCAGCGCGACAGTCGCCGCGTCGCAGGTCTACTCTCTGTTTGATCCGCAAATTATTGTTTCGGGTCTGGCTGACATTGTGTATGTGAACTTGTATGTTTGTAAACGCACCCACGACACAGGAGAAAATCCTAGTGTAGGGCAACATTTAAAAAAAAAATTACCCAATGAGGAAACTCCAAAATTGTCAAAAATTCAACTAAAATGAAAGATGACTTGAAGACTAGAAAAGAGTCACCGTAGCTTATGTATCTTATGTTTGTATATAGACAGACATGCTCCATGGCCACATCATCAATTACCACCAGGTGAGTTGGTGGCTAAACGCCGACCCTTTATCTGAGAGATAATGGCTAATATTTTCGTTTTGGCCATCTATAAGAATACTTATTGATTTACCTACCTTATATTGTCTTATAGGTATAAAACGAACAACTGGATGTTACGTCTTATTCAATAGAGCCTCATAGAAAACCGACGCGAAATCCCGTTGACGTGGAACCCAATACCAGAATCCCCAACCTTCCCAATCGAATCCCAACAATCCTCAAATTCCTAATTTCCAATTGTCCATGGGCGACGCCGATTGCTTACCATCAGGTGATCTGTCTGCTCATTTACCGGCTTATCCCATAAAAAACTTTTTACCCTGGTTTACTATGTTGAATATCCTCTAGTTACTCTAGTACATTTTAAATCTTTGGTTTATTTTTATTCCAGGTTCCTATAATGATCCGTCCTCGGTGGGACGCCTATTGGTTGGAAGGCATTCTCTGCTGCCTCCTCGCTGCGTACGCACTGGCCTATGCGGTAGGACGCGCGAAGAACACGTCAATTGCTACCAACTTCCTGAAGTTACACAAGCCACTGCTTGATGATAACTTCACTTTAGTTGGTAAGTACCTATACTCCGTCTGTTTAGGTAGTTAACTATTTGTAAACAAACCATAAAAAGAGTTCTTTATAGTTGACATTTCCATGATTCAAAATACTTCATAAGAAAATAAAATTGTTTCCCTTTTTACGACGGTTTTCTCTATTAAATGTTATGTTTCTGTTCCTTTTCACTTATTTCTTAATAAATATTAAATATATCTGCTTGAGGATATTAATTTAATAACATTTATTAAATAATATAATATTTCATTACAATAGACACCATAAAGAGCCTAAAATCCCAGGTATCCAAAACGTTTCTATAAGAACGAAGCAAAATAATGTTGTCAAATTAAAGAGTACAACGAAGATGTAGCGCGACAATGAAAGTAGCGTGTATTACGTTTAGTCGGTTAATCAGGCGCCATTGACAGCTCTCTCGTCGTTTGCGCTCGCGTTCCTATTTTGTTGAATTTAACTTGTTTCTTTGTTTTGTTTTTGTTATTAAGTTATTTAAGTTTAGGTTAATCATCGTTTGTAATTAATGTGTTCAAATATATTGAAGAAACTTGGCCCAAAGACAGATATCCGTACATCAGATTCAGAATAGTTTCTATTTAAACATGATAATGAAATAGACCCATAGGCTAGGCTCTTGTACGATTTAGGCATTTTTACTTGTATGTGTGTGTATGACAAATGAACGATTTTAAAGTGAATTTAGTTAAAATTAAAACGCGAGAAATATTTGAAGTAATAGTAGGTTAAGTATCTCTGTGTCACGTGGTTTTCTTTGTTTACCTTTAGTTAATTACCTAAACAGATGGACTATAAGTACTTACATTTGATTATATGAATTGATATATTATTTCGGTTTTGACTGCCCTTGCATAAATAATTTAGAAGAACTATGAATATAATCAATCTTTAGTTATTCATATTTCCGTAGGAATTTTGGGAAATCCTCTTTTAAGCCTAGAGCAATTCGGGTTTCTATGACTGTATTACGTTGTTAGTTTCGGCTGTATTTTATTGGTGAACCACTAAAATAGTTTATGGGACTCACCTGATTCGATGGAGGAGTTGGCAAATAATATGTTATCTATACTCATATTATAAAGCTGAAGAATTTGTTTTTTTACGCGCTAATCTCCCGTAACTACAAGTCTGAATTGAATAATTATTTTTGTGTTGGATAGTGCATTTATCGAGGATGGCTATAGGCTATAAAACATCACGCTACGACCAATAGGAGCTGAGCAGAGCGTGTGAAACCGCGCGGAAGTAGCTAGTCTATAATATAATTAGCCAATTCGATGCCAAAATCAAATTCGAGTTATTAAAGTACCTTATAATCCCCAGGTGAGACAGGTTCAGACGTGGTGACAGCAAGTTCAGACCGCGGGTGGCGCCGGGAGGCGGAGCACTGCTTCACCATGTGGTGCAGTGGTCGACTCTGCTGCGAAGGCATGCTACTCACACTCAAACTTATCAAGGTATAGCCACTACTCATTTCTGTCATAATTTTTACACACTATTAACTAGTCATTTATGTGAAAACTTTGTCGTTTTTTGCTCATATTAGATGTCGCCACTGTAGGTTAATAAATCTTTATTCTTAACTATGATTTCTCCTCTCCAGCGTCAAGACCTGGTCCACGTACTCCTAGGAGTAGTTAGACCGACGCCGGACACTCTACTCGTTCGTGTGGAACTAGGTAAAGACGACAGCGATCCATTCGTACTCTGTGTCGCACAGAAAAAGATCGCCACCCGCCTCGCCAAGGAAATGCAGGACTTGGTATGTTATTTTGAACTTTATAACTATTGCACCAAATGTGGAAGTTGTGTGTCATATTTTCTTTTGTTTAAAAAATATTGCTTGTTTCTGACAGTGAGAACTTTCTTTTTTGCGTTTAGTAGGTGGCGCTAGTGAAGTTTTTAGTCTTGTTGTGGCTAATCGATTCAGCTAAGAGCAGCATTCTGATAAACCTGAACCTTTTAACCTGCTTCTTATATTCCCATTCTTATATTGGGGCCTAATAGGGCTGATGCCGATACGGAGCCGCGAAAGACGACGGGTTGCCGGGGCTCCGGCTTGAAGTGCAGAAGTAGGAACGGGGTGATTTTTAGTCAGTAAGAGTTTGACACTCCCTCCAATCTCACCCAGGCGGGAGAAGTCATTAAAGTCATGATTTTCCGCCCTTAAAAAAATCCCTATTAAGTTGAGGAAGTCCACAACCTATTGATGTTTAAAAATGATGATAAATAAAAGTCTCTTCGTGTGCAATAATTATAATTATGAGTTTTGTTATTGTAAATCTATTAGTTTATTGATGTTTTCATTGTGTATCTGTCATTTTTTAGTTTTGTATTATATTTTTATTTGTGTATTATAGTTGTCTGAAATAAAGAAACAATAATCCTTACTTATATTATAATTCGGAAAGTGAGTTTGTTTGTCTGTTTGTTCCACTTTAACGCCGTAACTACTAAACCGATTGCTTTGAAATTTTGCAGACGTAAAGTTACAAGGCCGGATTAAATAATAGGGTACTTTTTATCCCTGAAAAATTTGATAATTCCGAGGGAAAACAAAAGTATTGGTATAGATGGCGCTGTGTGCATTGGTATATGTCACATTGGCTTTTTTATCCTTTCGTGACGCGAGCGAAGCCGCGGGTAAAAGCTAGTAATAAAATCCATGTTGGTTTCAGAGCGTGTTCTGCCCGGAGCGTCGTGCGGGCGACAAGCACGGGCTGCCGGGGTCGCTGTGCGTGCTGTCGGAGGCGGCGGAGGCCACGGCCGCCGTGCTGGACGCGCGCGTCTGTACTGCGCTGCACCACTACCACCACCACGTCCAGTACATACACATCTCCGACCGGTACTCCGGGCCCAAGCAGATGGAGTGAGTATTCTTAGGCTGACCCCACATTTGGCGTGCGCGATCCTCGGGCGTGCGCGATCCTCGGGCGTGCGCGATCCTCGGGCGTGCGCGATCCTCGGGCGTGCGCGATCCTCGGGCGTGCGCGATCCTCGGGCGTGCGCGATCCTCGGGCGTGCGCGATCCTCGGGCGTGCGCGATCCTCGGGCGTGCGCGATCCTCGGGCGTGCGCGATCCTCGGGCGTGCGCGATCCTCGGGCGTGCGCGATCCTCGGGCGTGCGCGATCCTCGGGCGTGCGCGATCCCCGGGCGTGCGCTGCGTGAGCGCCGGGTGTTGCTGCCGTGTGTCGTGCACGCAGCGTGCGGCGTGCTCGTGACGCTCAAGTCGCGTTCTTACCCCTTCGCCCGCTATCCCCTTTGCCCGCTATCCCCTTCGCCCGCTATCCCCTTCGCCCGCTATCCCCTTTGCCCGCTATCCCCGCCGCCCGCTACTGTTTTGGTCAGTCGCATGGTAGACAGTGGTGTGTTGACACGCTAAATGGAGGTTATGTTAGGCTAAATCAACTAAAAATCGCGGGTTACTCACGTGAATATACTGAGAAAAGCTCTACTAGTTTCGAACCACAGAGGGGTTCTTCCTTATGAGCAGCGGGCGCGGTAGGCTACGCGACATCATCGCGACCGCGCACGCGGTATATTCTTGTATATTAGCTTTTCTCAGTATATTCACGTGAGTAACTCGCGATTTTTAGTTAATTTTGCAAAAAGCACACTTAAAAATAGTCACTTTAACATTTTTTTTTAAAATGTAAAACATATATTCTTAACACTACTTATTCTACAGGGAAGCAGCAGTAACGAAGCCTCCGGACACGGAGAAGGTGATGCTGATCAGCTTTGCTCTGGGACCCGACGGCGGCGGGGACGAGGTCCGCCCGCTACTGCAGCTCGTCTTCCACCTCATGGACAAGATCAAGAGGCTCCGGCTTAGCAAGGAGGTCTGTTCTTATATAATTTGTTGTTACCATAATGATGGTTATTTTTCCAATTAAAATATTATTACTAACTGTTATAGCGATTGTGAGAATTCGAATATCCCTTTATTTACCACACTAGCTTTTAACCGCAGCTTCGCTCGCGTCACAAAAGGATAAAAAGTAGCCTATGTGACATATACCAATACACACAGCGCCATCTATACCAATACTTTTGTTTTCCCTCGAGAATATCAACCTGCACAAATTCACCGAAAACTATCGGATTTTTTTTCTCTTCTATTAATATCTTCTGATTTATTTCGATGCGGGGTCTTAGACAGTTATTCGTGTTCTTAGGACGCGCGGACGCGTATGTTATAACATAACATAACATCACGCCTTTTTATCCCCGAAGGGGTAGGTAGATGCGCACATTTCGGCTCTTAATGCCACTGTACCATGTAACAACCAACTTTTCACTATTTATGTTATGAGTCCCGTGTAATAGGGGGTGAGCCTATTGCCATATATCGGGCACATTCCAGACTCCGTGCTACTACTGAGATTTTTAAAAACCCAGTAATACTTTGTCCGACCCGGGAATCGAACCCGAGACCCCTTGCCCGGCAGTCGCACTTGCGACCACTCGACCAACGAGGCGTATGCGATGATATTGACGATGTATTATAATATATTGGGCATTAACCTGTAAAGATAAATGTAAGTGGAATAAATAAATAAATAAATGTATGGTGTCGGGTCCAGGCGCTGGCGAAGTGTGAGAAGCGTCGCCAGAAGGTGGCGGAGGCCTGGCTGCGGGGCGCGCACGCCGCCCGCCAGGAACAGGCCGCCGCCCGCCGGGAGGAGAAACGCAAGCTGGAGAAGGAACGCATCCTCGCTGTACGTATACTTTTACCGCCTAAACATTTATTTTCTCACCTTTTAAACCATCCCTGGACTTCCACGTACATACATTTCAAGACCAAAATTATCGTGAGACATACTAAATTAAGTAAAAACGCGGGTTACTCACGTGAATATACTGAGAAAAGCTCTACTAGTTTCGAACCACAGAGGGGTTCTTTTCCTCATGAGAAGCGTGCGCGGTCGCGGCGACGTCGCGCAGCTCATGAGATGAGGAAGAACTTCTCTGTGGTTCGAAACTAGTAGAGCTTTTCTCAGTATATTCACGTGAGTAACCCACTATTTTACTTAAGACCAAAATTAACTAAATCGGTTCTGCCGTTCTCCAATTTAAGCGAATTTTTTATTAATATAGATTATTATTCATTATTATCATCATCATTAGTCTGTAACCTTCCACTGCTGGACAAAGGCCTCTTCTCACACGCAGAAGGAAGGAATAATCAGCACACTTGCTCAAGTTGGATTGGTGATTTGAACTTTTAATACATTAAAATATAAAACTTAGTTTAACAACAGACAAAAATAAAAGTAAAAACTAAAAAGTAGAAAATTACTATTATTAGTCAGTTTGTATTGATAGGTTACCCACCCACTTAGGTTAGAAGTCGTTGCCACGTATTCTAAGGTTTCCTCACGATGTTTACCTTCGCCGTTTGTCAGTGGTGTTTACATAATCTTATTCTGATCTACTTTCGATCTCTGCACTATTTTTTTATCCAATACATAACATAACGCCTTTCATCCTCCGAAGGGATACCAGAGGTGCACATTACAGCACTTTCTGCCACTATACAATGTAACACCCACTTTTTCACTATTTATGTTATGAGTCCCATGTAATAGGGGTTGAGCCTATTGCCATATACCGAACATATATTTCTAGGCTCCGTGCTACCACTGAGATTAAAAAAAACCCAGTAACATATGCCCGACCCGGGAATCTAACCCGAAACCCCTTGCCCGGCAGTCGCACTTGCGACCACTCGGCCATCAAGGCAGTACTATAATTATGAGTTACTGAATTTATTGATAACTTTACCTTTTTGCACGTTACAGGAGGACGACCCAGAGAAGCAGCGTCGCTGGGAGCTAAAAGAGCAGAAACGCCAACAGAAGCGGAAAACGCCGAAAATGAAACAATTAAAAGTAAAGGCTCTGTGATCATTGATAGTAGACAGTTGGATCACAGGCGCCACAGCAATCAGTCATGCAATATATACAGTCTTTGTTATTTATTAAGTGTTACATACTCAATGGCTGCGAATAAATGAATTTTACGTTATAATCTATGTTTTTTATTGAAGTTGTAGTTGCAATAACGTCGTTCGCCAGCGCACGGTACCGTAGAGCGGGCGCGGGAGGTCGCGGCGAGCTGCCGGGGGCCGACTGCCACCGGGGGCGCGCCACCTGGGCCGCTACCGGGCTCACACTACCGGAGACGTGGTTCTACCCCAACCCGTCATCACTACAAATCTGTATTATTTGTTCTAGTCTTTCCTGATACGGCTTGTTCACATACGTTCCTTAGTCAAGAGATAAATGCAAAAATTTTGCGCTTAAAAGCCGAAATGAAATGTGGCCGGGCCGTATTACATACACTGTAAATACTTATATCACATTATTTATTTCAAGAAATATAGTCATTGTTTAACACATTCAAATGTTTTTATTTCATTTACTTGTATAACCTGAGTTATAGGTCCTGTGATCACTAGTTCTAAACTTATAATTACTAAGAAAAAGAAAAGTTTGGGGCTGAACTAGAGGTCTGTCTAAATTGCATTATGTATAAAATGATAGGTACTTGCTAGATTTATTTCTTATTGCTGTTACTTAAATGCTCATTCTGCACATTTATAGGTTAAAATTTTGTCATTGAATACTTTTATTTACAAACAATACAAACTTAAATAAAATAAATACTATTACTTAAGAGACACAACTAGTGCATCGTTTCCCAACATGTGGTCCGCGGACCTCTGGGGGTCCGCGAGTATATGTATGGGGGTCCGCGAGTATATGTATGGGGGTCCGCGGTGTCATCTCTGGACCACACATAAATCGCTTATTATATGCAAAAACAGCTAACAAAGTAGAATCTAATTTGAGATTACAAACTACTACTAATCAGTAGCGACATCAACCCGAATATCCCTCATTCCGTTGCAAAAAAATAACACCAACCTTCACATTAATTTGTTTCTTTTTTTCATATTAACACGTTAAACGCTATAGGGGTCACCGGTGACCGGCATTAGCGGAGGATTTACCTTCAACAGTTTTTTATTGGCAGTCAAAGTCTTAATAAACAGTAAGTTATAATAGCTTCTGTATTTGTTTTTTATCTGTAATCACTAAAATAAATACGTAATGCGTTTTATTTTTTGATATTTTAGTAAAAGTCCGTGAAAACTGGTCTTGATTTCCAAAGAGTCCGTGGACTGAAATGGCTGGGAAACGTTGAACTAGTGGAAAAAATTAAATAAAAGAAAACTAAAAATTACTATTTACAAAGAACATCAAATAATTCTTTATAAGTTTGTTTTTTTTTCAATACGCTAATCTCTGTATAATTTATTTTATTTTTATTTATTTGTCTCAGGCATCTTGGCCCATAGTGAAATATACAATACAAATACTAATTTTGTGTTGAATACTCTATTTATGAAGGAAGCCTATATACCTACATACATTATACTACGACGAATAGGAACCAAGTAGCGGGTGAAATAGGGCGTAAGTAAATAACAAATACGCACTCCTGAAATCTTAGCGTCTCGTCACCCGGTGCATTTGCACCTAATCAAATGATACACCCATGTTTTTGTTCTGCAGTGAACATTTAATGGAGAGCCCAGACGCCCATGGCCCCTTAGATTTTTGGTGGTAATCATTTTTTTTTAATTTCCGTCCACTTAAATTGCCTGACTTTATTTCTCATTTCAATTTTTACTCACCTCACTCAGCAATCATTTTTCAATCAACTATATTTATGTAATCTGGATTTTTATTTATTATCCAAGATTAGGTGGAATTCCTGGAAAGGAATCTAGTTCGTAACTATATTTTGCCAGTGCGAAAATATACTGATACTGGTAAACAATGGCAGTGACATTAATTTTTTTTCATGTCTACGGTAGGTAGAAAAAATGTTATTGTTCATCTTTTATGAAATTGTACTGGGGATAACAATAAAAATATCCACATATTTTTCCAAGTCTCAATAAAACACCTATAATAATTATTAATCAAAGCAATATTTATTTCAAATATTTGTTATTAAATTAATAAGAACAAAATAACAAAATATGTTAACAAACATAAGTATGTATCTATTTCTAAGTCACAGAAGCGTGGATGATAAATAAATAGTATGGATTGTTATGACAATTGAATTTTTGTGGATGGGATGAGATCTTCATACAGTCTTATTTTCACTCAATTTTTGTTTTGTTTAATGAAATTAAATTACACCAAAATATTATAATTATGCCAGCAGAATCACATGAAAATACCTACTCATACCAAATATGAATCATAGCTTTATGACATAAGTATGTGTAGAATTATAAAAGATTGTTTAAAAGAGAAGTGTGCATAAATGTGACTTAGACCAAAACAAAATGAATTTGTTCTCAACACTGGACCACTAAGTTTAGGGTAACCATATAAATCATTATAAATCTCACAGTTAACAAATACATTAACTTCATCAAAACAATTGTCTAATTAAATTACAATGTATTTAATATTTTGTACCGATTCCAAAAATTTTTGAGCAATTCGCTTAAACATTAATCAAAGTAGCTGCACTATCAATTATCGTTGGGGTGGATAATACAATACATGCAAAATCAACTCAAGTACACCGAGGAGCTAGGAACATTCAGAATCAGCTTCTACACATTATAATCCATGCATCAGTATAAATACACTGAAAAATACATTATTTTCAACATTCATTAGATCACTTGAATACTACTTCTATTTTCTAACCTTCGCCACTCTAACTTAGAGTAAATACGATTCGAAGGTCATCACACTAGATTTTGAGGTGGCTTGTGAGTGGTGTCATTCATCGACTTGCAGCTTCTGGATGCGCGTGGAGACGCAGTCCATGTCGGGCGAGGGTTCGGCGCGCGGCGGGCCCTCTGCCGCCAGGTTCAGGTTCTCCAGTGACTGGCAGCGCTTCGCAGGACTCTTCACGCACTCGTGTTTGTACCCGCTCGTCGAGGGCTCTAGCAAACTGTTTTTGTACTCGCACCCGCTATCGCTCACGTCACTACTGATCGCATCCGAGTTTTCACTCTTAGTTCTATGTCTTATTGGTAATACGTAAGGGCAGAGTCTGTTTTTGTTCGTCGCTCGTTTCATACAATATCCCACGGTCACGTTAGACACGTATCGCGTGTTGAAACGCATCACGCTGTAATTTGTCTTAGACTCCCGCAAATAGTCGCGCCGTGCTTCAGTTATTGCACTCAACATTCCAAGATCGTGCAATGCTTTATCCAAATTCTCCAGGTTCATGTGGCGAGATTTCTGTGAACAACGCAATAATATCAGTAATGCGCACTGTCGTTTCATCTATTCTACAAGTTTATTGTTGATACATACACTTTTTTCGAATTCATTACATTTCATCCTGGATTAGATCTAAGCAGAATTCAAGAAATATACATAGAAAACAGTGAAAATAAACATCACAAAAAAGTCATAATAAGGTATGACAAACACAAGTCTGGGTTGCCAGTTTTTAATCTTGGTAATAAAATGTTCCAATAAGAAAATAATAAGAACGCAATGGGAACAATTTTTCAAAATGTTGGAGGCAGGCAGGCATGCAGGCATGATAATATTAGCATTTTAGTAGGTACTAAAGGTAGGTAATAAATATAAAAAGATCAAACAGGGTTTACTTTGTTGGTGTTAAATTGTAGGTTTTTTTATTATTGGATGGGTCGACGTTTGCCCACTATCTCGCCTGGTGGTAAGCCATCGATTGAAGTTGACGCGGTCTACGATGGAGCTCGTCGTCTTATTTATTAAACGATTACCTATTCACTCGGGCCTTGACCGAAGAATTAATTAATTAATTTAAGACCCAGGTCAGGTACAAAGTAAACCCTGTTAGTTCTTTTTTTGTTTTTTAATTTGTAAAAAAAGTCCTTCGTCAATGTCATTTTGTATTTTATGTTTTGTAGATTCTCTTTATTTTTGTTATCTGTCAAACTCCTTATATCAAACGTAAAATATTACCATCAGATTCATAAGTTTTGGTGTAAATGAAATGAAAAAAATATACTAAGTATGGCTGAAATATTGAAAGAGTGGTTAACTGAGAGGCTGAACCGTCCTATATCATGGGAAGCGGAAGAATTTGGAGATATGATGAAAAATGGTTATGTAATTGCTGGTGTACTGAACAGTTACAATGTTATTAACGACGAGAAACATTTTTTAATAAGAGCTAGCTTAGCACAAGAAGATATTAAAAGCAACTGGAAATATTTATCAGAATGGTTAGCTGATATTAATGTTTACGTAAGTGCCAGTGATCTAGAAAACATAATGGATGGCAAGGGTTCTTCAATAATTCGATTATTTTATAAAATGTTTCTACATTTGGACAAAAGGGACAGAACAAACTTTATCAAACGTGAAAGGAAAATGGTGTCCAGTTTAATAGAGAAAATTGGTCACAGATTTAAAGTAGACAACATACCAGAAGGAGAAGAATCCATAGTCGATGATCTTGCGAAGCCATTATTGAACGAACAACATTTTATTGAATGGCAAAGAAAGAAAACGGAGCAAGTAAAAGATACGTATGAATATATTCGGCATAAATATTCGAAAATGTTAACAAATATAACTGAAGCACACACTCCAATGCGCTATCAAAAACCTACAATGCCTCCAAAATTATCGAGCAAAGAGCGCCAGGAAATGGAACGATTCGCTTTAAAGTACCCTTGTAAATTCGAAAATTATACGTATGATCAGTTAGTTTCAATGGAATTGCAAGCTAAAGATCAAAGAACCTCTTTTTCTGATTCTGAATGGACTAAAGCTTATATGAATAATCTTTACAGTAGATTACATAAGAAATCGGATTCTGAGGAATTTCAGAAACAAATTCGAAACGTTCTAAGTGGAACAATGTGGGATCTATCTATTGCTGAAGAAGAAAATAAGTTGGATACTCAACTGGCAAAGAAAGTCATGAAATTGTCACAATTTGAGAAACAAATGTGTACGCAGATTATGGAGACAAAACAGCAAGCGCGAAATTTAGTAAAGAATAGAATTCAAGCTGAAAAAGAATTTGCAGAACAAAGAGAACTCCAATTTAATCAGTATCTAGATAACGTGAAAGAACAAATTCAATTAGAAATGACAGAAATTGACTTCGAAAAAGAGAGACAAAATGTACTCCATAAAAGGTTGTATGCGGAAAAAATGAGACGAAAACGATTACACTATTATGATATTTGCTACAATACGATATTATCGATTGTGGACTATGCAACGAAATACGCGTACTTTAAAAGACTTATAGGAGACGATATTCCAGAACATTACTTACACGAATGGAAGGTTTTATATTACAAACAACAGCCAATATTCGACATTTTAGAACCTCCAGAAGATATTTTGAAAGAAAAAGTTGAAGAAGAAACGACTCCGGTAGAAGAGGAAATAGTTAGACTCGAACTAGAAAGACAAGACGCACTTAATGATAATGAATTCAAAGTTTACCATGATTACTCATATCCTTGGACTTTAGACTTATTGATTCCTAATTATGATCCAGAGTCTGAAGAAAGGAAATATGAATATTTAGGAACTCGCGTATTGGGTCATATGGTTTACACTTTGCTTGGAATAAAATATCCGCACCCACCACCGTTACCACCAGCTGACTTACCATCGTATACAGCTAAAGCGGTAATCCGGGGCCTGCCGGAAAGATCGTTAACTGTGCCAATGCAAATTCTGCTTAATATAAGAAAAATACACGTAGTTCGACTTGAAAATGCAATAAATTTTTGCCTTAGAAAATTTAAAACTGAAATGATAGGCTGTACCGACATTGATTTGTCATTCGATAAGTTTATAGCGGCTGCTCCAGAGGAAGAGGATAAAGAACTTATAAAGTTAATGAAGTTGGAAGATGATACATTCAATAAAAGTAACGAGTCGGCGCTTGCTGCTATATTAAGTGTTGTTACCGCTAATTCTAAACAAACACAAACTCCAAAAACAATCCCAGAAGAAGACATTAAATTGTCTGATGCTGCAGAATTGGGTAGATATGCTTATGAATCTTTGGGTATTGGTGATACTCTGACAGATCATCTAATAGCAGCAACAATTGTTGAATACCTTAAAGATCAAGATGACATTTCAGGTTTTGTAATAATAAACTACCCTAACTCCTATAGGGAAGCACAAATTCTCGAAGAAACATTTTCTGGGCGTACACCACCAAACGAGAGCGAACTAGAGGATAGAGATGATATTTATCTGGAAGAGTGCATTGCGAAGCATCGCAAAAAAGAGAAAGATTCCCATAAGGACGTAAGGATCTCTAGACTTGTAAGCGATCCTCATAAAAAAATCTGTGATAAACCGTTTGAAAGCTATTTCACATGTTATATCCATCTAAAAGAAAGTGCAGATATTCTTCAAGAACTTGTAATTTGGGATTTAACGGAAACTAACTCTGAGTTAATCGATCGGTTTTACGCAATACTAGGTCTTAATTATAGTATGTACTACGAGGGAATAGATAGAGAAATATTGGCTCAAATTTGTAAATACATTATTGGTGACTTGGCAATGCCTTTAAAATCTGCTGATACTCTATTCGGAGAACATGTTTTAAGTTGTCTTGAGTTTCCATTAAATGATGATAGAAAACAAAGATCTAGAATTATCAAACCCGAAGCTATGAATGGGAAATCTAAAGAAAAAATGCATAGTACAAAACCAAGTAAAAGTTCTATGATGCCACTTGAAGTAGTAAAGGAACCCTCGACAGAAGAAGTTGTGGATGAACTGATACACGAAGAAACGGACGGAGAAGAAAGTTATAGGACTTTGAGTATTGATGAAATAAAGTTATTAGCTGGAGAGGAAGATTGGGATTATGGAGACCTACCCATTCCTCCATTAATAGGTGTTGCATTGGCGACTTGTTGGCAAGAAATTGAAAAAGTTTACATTAATGATATGCAGCAATTGTTCTTCGCAAAACGACTGCAAATGAACTGTTTGATTCCTTACGCAAGATTCATTAAGGATAAAATGGAACAAATCATCACTTTACCTTCGAATAAACAAGATCTTGTATGTAATTTTCAAAGGGAATACAATGATTTTGAAAGTGACTGGCGTGATATAAATGTGACTAAAAACGAATGGCACTGCAGAGTTAAAGAGTTACAAAATAAATTGTATAAAATTTGTGATGCGCGAAAATTGCGAGCTGAACAACAAAGGAACGCTTTAATAAGCGACAACTGGACTATGGAAGAACTGACTACCTTGGTGAATACCTATATTTCTTGTATGCAAGCAGAATTAAACAGGTAACGAGTGAATCGTCGAAGTCATCTTTAAATAAATAGGTAAAAAAACATTTTTAAATCTTTTTTTTTATTTTCAGATCTTTTTTGACGTTTCAATCGCTCCATGACTTTTATTTTTCCATGATCAAGCATATGCCGTCAAATGACAAAATATTATTTAAAGAATTGATCAAAGTTTATAGAGATTCGGATGACGTATCTGGTAGTAGGAGAGGAGCAGAAGACAAAGTTTTTAGACAATTGAAATTGGGATTCCAAGAACTGCAACATAAAAATATGGAAATCGATTTTAATAATAACCCTTTTAATTTAATTGTAGAAAATAATGTGAAATTCGCTTTAAAAGTTATAAAAGAAACTAATGATTCTTATCGGTCTGTGATTGCCAAAGAATATAGCGAAGTAGCAAAAGTGCAGCCCCCTACAAAGAAGAAGGAAGAAAATACGTCTGAAGAATCAATAAATGCTGAGGAAATCTTCAAAGAGCAAGCGCTGAAGTGTATAGAAGAATGGACAATGGGCATCAATGGAGAAATGTATAGAGCCAGTCTTCGTATGCAAGCTCTTCAATACAAATGTTATCGCGATATGAAATTATTTAACGACCACATTTATAAAACCTTTACTGATGTTCAAAATGATATTAATGATTACTATATAAATGAGATTAAATCTGTTGATAGACTTTGTAAATATTTGCAAATGGCTGTTGAAAATGGTAGACCGATACAAGAGACGCTGGTCCTCGAAAATGATACGTTCATGATCGATCCAAATCTTTTGCAGTTTGCTCCCCCAGAGCCGCCAGCTGATACGTCAATAGATCGAGAGATAGTCGGGAGTATGGATTTCAAAATCAGTCAGCTTGCTGTTCTCCGGACACAGTTTAAAATAATCGCGCCGACTGGAATTATAATGCAGCAAGCTTTCATTTACCTTCTTCAAGATTTCATTTTTTTTGGCAAAGAAACTTGCGATGGTCCTCTATTCCCAGAAGCTTGGCTGCGTGTCGATCCCGAGCAAGTACCTAAATTTGTCTTTTTGTTGTTCGGGGACACGGTATACGTTGATTGGCGCGACTTCCTCATTTACTCTTTGAATATAAGATTTCCAAATGTAGATGAATTATTAGAGATTCGTACAAGATTTCGATGTTATGATCTATCGTGTACGGAACTGATAGATCGAGATGATTTCATTTCGGAGGAGCTTTGGTTTGAAAAGGATTTTGATCCCGACGACAAGCACGCACAGCTGAGATTGAATTTAATAAAACATTTTTTGTTTGAATTATTTGAAACAATGGAAAATAAAATGAATTATTCTGCGTTTCTGCTAGCTTTTAGCAAAGATAGTAATCCTATAGTAGGCTTCGCGACAGCGTTGTCTATGGCCGTTGGCAAGAAGACTTGTTATGATCTAGAACAGTGTGGCGAAGTGGTGTGCAAATTGATTAAACAGAAGAAGTACAGAGATGAATGCTTGGCTTGTGCAAACAAATGTACGCAGGAGTTTATAGATAAACTTTTAGATAATGTTATAATATATTGTGAAGGAACTAGTATTATTGAAATGGAATATGTTGCCCCAGTCGAGGAAAAGAAGGGTAAGAAAGGGAAAGTTGGTAAGGCACAAGCCGGGAAAAAAGTACCTGAGCCTGCGGTTAATGCTCGTGTGAGATCTCAGAAGAGCTTGTTGTCGAAGACTAAAATAACGGGATCTGCGGGTGCTGTCAAGCAAACGTTTGTATGTCGGCCTTGTGAAGATGAGGCCGAGGCTGAGGAAAAAGCATCAATTAAGCCTGAAAGCATAGTAGAAGTGAAACTGGAGCCAGAGGAGGATCCTAACGTAATGTACGCTGTTAGTCAAACCGTCATTTGGAACGTTCTACGACTATGTTTGCCATGGCATTTTGTGTTGGTGCCAGAAGCGCATAAGACGCCTTACGTCGATCAAATCACAGACGCGTTGAAGCGTTTGGAGGAGGACACGGATAATGGCGACATATACGTGTGCAGACTAGTAACAGATCCCGATATATGCACGTTGATACACAAGGTAAAAAAGTTCACAACTCTGAGTCTAGCCGATGAAGTTGTTAAAGTTTTTGCGTCACGGTGCTCGTAAAGACATTATTTTATCATGTGTTTTTTATTATGTCTGTTTCGAGAGTTTTCCCATGTCAAATTATGAAAATGTAGTACCTATTGAAAATGCAATACGTGTGTTTTTGTTTAAATCAAAAATAATTACAGTGAAACCTGGTTAAGTGAGACATCAAGGGAGGGACCTGCAATGTCGTTTCACTTATAGAGGTATTCCACTTACCCAGTGTCTCAAACATACAGGTATAAATAAATATCTGTCTCATTTACAGAGGGTTCCATTAATACAGGTGGACTTGGAATTACGTGTGGAATTTGTGGGTAGAATAAGAATGAGTAAAAAAACAATGTTATCTCAGTTACAGAGGTTTATGCATATAAAATGTACTCGCTGTCTCAGTTATAGAGGTAACTATGATGATAAATCGCAAGAACAAATCCCAGATACAGAGGTTTACCTCGTCCCACTAATAGAGGTAATTTAGTGCCAAAATATTTGGCCCTCAGCATGAGTTCCAGTTATGGAGGTTTCTCACTTATCCAGGTCCCACTTAACCAAGTTTCACTGTAGATACAATAATCTGAATGCGAGTGAAGATAATGAACATGATCGTAAGTCTGAGTCATCAAAGAATCCAAGTGCCAATCAATTTAATAATACACTTTAATTTATTTACCGTACACAATACACATAGGACATTTACAATTATGTATAAGACACGACAGTTAAGTACAATTTCTCTCAAAAATAGACATTTGTCATACGACCGGGAATTTCGAGTCAATGAATTAATTTATTTGTCTTTTATAGGATCGTATTGCAGCAATATGTCGTTGACGCTGAGCGCAAGTATGTAGGTAAATATTTTGTCCTGGTCGACCCTGATCAGCTTGTACTTCGTGGTGGATAGACCTTCCTTTGGTAAAAGCAGTCGGTTCATTGTGATAAGTGAAGCCCTGAAAACAGATTTCGAAATTAAATGTAAAAGAGGTTACACGATAACGAATTCACTAGAACGAAAGAATATAATGGTTTATGATTATAAGCCCCGGTGTGGCTTGAAACTAGTCGAGTATTCTCTTCGAACCGTTCCAACTTCATCATTGAACTTTTTTATTTTTAGGATAAGCCGGTAAACGAGCAGCCGAGCAGACAGATTACCTGATGGTAAGCAATCGGTGCCGCCCATGGACACCTCAATCACCAGAGGCGTTATAAGTGCGTAGCGATTAGGAACTTGAGAATTGTTTGGGATTCGGGGATTGGGGAGCGAGGTAACTGGGCCTCCTCCGATAACCTCACTCACACGATGTAACAAAACGCAAGCGTTGTTTCACATCAATTTTCTGTGAGGCCGTGGTATCAGTCCGGTCGAACCGGCTCATTCTTGCCGAAGCATGGCTCTCTCACACTTACAACTTACCGGCTATTATCAAGGTGGTTTGTGACATTTGCCATTATTCTGAATAGAGCAACAGAATCGTTCCGCTTCACTATAGCATAGTTCATAGCTTCAAGCCTGAAAGTAAAAGAACTACTGACTAAATCTTACTTCTTATTGTGAAACTTTATGAGTTTACAATCATATTAAGGCTTAAGGGATCGGGATAACACATAGGCTACTTTCTTATCTCACGGGAATGCGGGCCAAGCCACGGGATGAAGCTAACAGGTTATGATCGACAGCCCGTAAGAGTCTACTACAGACTTCTACAAAAGAGGGATTTGCCACAATCTCTATGCTTGGCCAGCAGATTGGAGAACGCACTTTAAAAGTATCAGGTTTATCAGAGAGCGCTGCTGCCCGGTCTCTGATAAATACATGTAGATATGTAATCCTTTAGTCAGGTTTTACGGCTTTATTTCACCGGAACACCATGGAGGCGCCACCAGTCGCCACTATCAACAAAATGTGTAGCTTTTTTGAGGGGGGAAAATCATCCAATGGCTTCTCCCGCCCGGTTGAGACGAGAGGGAGTGTCAGACTCTCACTGACTAGAAACCACACCGTTTCTAACCCTGGACTTCGAGCCGGAGCCAACAGAGTTAACTCGTTAACCCGTTAACTCCTCCGCGGCTCAAAATGTATACGCTGGTTCCGCAACCACGCGGACACCAGGTGAGTAATGCTCTATATACATATTTGGTCAGTAGCGGCGACTGTTTGCGTCGCCATGGTGTCCCTATGAAATATAGCCCTTACAGCACCCGCTAAAAGAACGAAAGATTTTTAGATACCTAGAAGAAGAAAGAAGAATTAAGGTTATTTTCTTTTTTGATCACTATGACTGGATTTAAATGTTACATTGTTCTCGCACAATCCAAACAGCAAAACTATGTAACTAGAAAATTGTATTGTGAACCTGATTGAAAACGAGTAACCTATGGAGTTTCTTGCTCGTTCTTCTCCATAGGAATCTACACCTTGGAATGAGCAAATAGCTTCACTTTTAATTTTTTTTTGACGTTCAAAACTGCCATTCTGGCCTAATTGAAATAAATGATTTTGACATTTTTGACTTTTTGAAAAGAATATAAAAAATCACACCTGCCAGAAAAATCGAAGTCCGCTAAATCTGAGTCCACATACATGTTGGAGTATCCGTTCACAGCTTGGTACTGATCTGGTGTCAGTGCTGTAATTATTCCGCTAGACCTGCAGTTATGATAATCTATCATCATCTTTATTGTCAGCGCTGCTCACTACTGGGCTATAGACATAGACCTTTCCAATAGCATATTTTAGAACTCGATCTTCAGTTTCTCGCTTCCAATGATTCAATGACTGGCCACTTGACTGAGGTATTGTCAGTACACTTAATTAACAGGAGAATACCCCTCTCTACGCGAGACTTAACAAAACTGGAACTAGGTACCATTTGAATTGAGAAAATCAACACAACAGTTCTTAACTAAAATCGCGGGTTACTCGTGAATATACGAGAAAAGCTTTAGTAATTTCGAACCACAGGGGGCTTCTTCCTCATGAGCAGCGTGCGAGGTCGCGGCGATGTCGCGCAGCCTACTCATCGCATCTCAGTATATGCACGTGAGTATCCCGCGATTTTTAATTGATTTAACATGTCTCATGATTGTTATTATATAAACAACAGTTCTTGAATCTGACAACCTACCTACCATACCTACGTACCCCCAAGGGAGATAGGCGTGAGGTTATGTATGTATTCTTCAACCACAATAATCAGTCTTTTTACCTGTTACCCCAAGAAAGTATTTGTTTCGGATGCTCTGGACAGGAATAGGAGATCGTCTCGTCCTCAGGGATCAGGTCCACGTCGTGGAAGATCAGACAGTCCCAGGAGCCGAACCGCTGACTCTCCAGGAACGCGATGTTGTATAGAGTGCCTTTTGGGTCTCCTATAAATAATTTTAACCCAAGTGAAACGGAAACGGCCTGCTTGATGGCAAGGGTTTTTTTATATTTGCCGTTTGGCCACTATCTCGTCCGGTAGTAGGCGATGATGCGGCCTACGATGGAGCACGTTTGCCCATAAACGACCTATATTCAATCAGGCCTTGAAGACACCCAGGTTATACCCTTCAGGAAATACTCTGGCAACTAATTCCACTCCTTAACAGTACGCACAAGAAAGCTTGATGCGAAGTCCTTAGTGCGAGTGGGTGGGACATCCACCATGAAGCGGTGACGCTTCGCCGATTGTCCTGTGGTTTTTTTTTTTAAGGGGAGAAAATCATCGAGTGATTGCTCCCACCTGGGTGAAGCGGGAGGGAGTGTCAGACTCTTACTGACTAAAAACCATCCCGTTCCTTCTCCTGCACGTCGAGCCGGAGCCCCGGTTACCCGTTAGGTTCTCCGCGGCTCCGAATCGGCATCGGCTCTATGGGGCCCCATCTGTGGTGGTCTGATAGCTCTTTGAGGCGCGCGCGGTACGCGACGCGCCGTACGCGCGGGTATTGTCCTGTGGTACGATGATGGAAAGGACTAGGGGGAATCAAGTTATGCAATTCCACCGCACACTCAGTATTACAAAAGGTACAGATGCTACTTACCAACAAATCGTGGAATAAGAAATATTCTGTACTCCAAAAGTTGTTTTTGTAGCAGAGCGTGGAGATTATGAAGTAGAACCAAACGACTGGTGATACAATATCTGTAAAGTTGGAAGTGTTAGTACTGGCTTCACGTAATTCACTAAAACTCAAAAATATGAGTAGCCTTTGTTCCTCCTTAGTACATACATCAGCCACCTGCCAATAAAAGTCTTGCAACAGCCAGTACAAACCGACAGACACAAAAACATTGTAAAAAATGTTATTTTTGTATGTGTATCGTATGTATATTCATATGCATGTAGTAAAAACGGTTATTTTTAATATAACAATCAGACACTCCAATTTTATTTATAGATTACATTATGTGTTATACGATTTTCAAAGATGATGATTTAATTGAGCAGAATGAGAATAACGATGTCTTTTGTAAAAGTTATCGGCATCAATACGGCTATTATTTAGGTTCAATAAAATTGCTTTCTTGTAAGTTATGTAATACTCACGAGGTTGGCACAATAACTACAACTGCCACTCGTTGTGCAGGGCGACAGTGCGCCGGCGCATAATAACCCCCCAGTTTGACAGCAGCGAGGGCAGGGCTTTGTTCAACCTGGTGGAATTTGGGTCCAGTTGCGTTGAATAACTTTAATTCTATATTATCTGTGAAAAAAATATTATGCTCATTTAAACTGTCAAACACCGCGAGGACACCGGTGACCGCAACCTATTGTTCTTTAATTGTGTCTATAATGACGGTACTCAAAGAGTTAAACAAAATTAGAGCCCAAAGCCGTAATATCTGTAAGTCAGGTTGCAGATATGCATCGCGAGACGCGCATGCCCAACGGTCCACAGAGTAACGAGGGCGTCAAAAAAAGTTAGGGATGAGGTGCTTGCCTATGGTGCTCTCTACATTTAACCCTTAGAGTACCGTCATTATAGACACAATTAAAGAACAATAGGTTGCGGTCACCGGTGACCGCGCGGTGTTTGACAGTTTAAGCCGCCTCTTTGTGCTCCATAAAAAAGCCACAAGGCATATCGTAAGCGGGTCGTAATCGTAAGCGAATAGGAAACGTATTGCTAACATTGGAAGCGTGGCGCGGAAGACCTAACGGGTTGCCGGGGCTTCAGCTCGAAGAGCACGATCAAGAACGGGGTGGTTTTTAGTCAGTAAGAGTCTGACACTCCCTCCCGCCTAACTGAAGGCGGGAGAAGACAAATGACGACTTACGACGTAAAAAAAAAATTGGCACGCCTAGGCGCTCTCTGGATTAACCCCTCGAGCGTCCTTATGATCACCCGGTGGATCATGAGAAAAAATGCTCCATGCTGCTTTCTCTTTTATAAAATCTATTATTAATGTTTTGTTTTTATTTTGACTGTATTTGTTTTATTTCTATCCTTGTTTTCGTGTGCCAGTGGCCAAATTAATGCATTTTCTTGCATGCATAAGGATAAGGAAATGCATAAGGAACGCGGACGCTCGACGGGTTAATGTGCCTCTGTCTGTGTGTGACGCATAAACCAGGCATATCGTAAGCGGGGGTCGTAATCGTAAGCGAATAGGAAGCGAATTGTTAGCGTAAAAATAAGTATACAAACACTGTGTGTGCGAACTTCTTTGAATAAAAACTGTTAGGTACTTACTTGTTCGTTGTACCCTATTGCTATGCGCGTATTGATACGCTTAGGTACAGTTTGCTAACGAAGACTCTACTACTAATCAGACAATGTTGGTTAAGTAGCTACAAACAAGTGCAATATTACTTACTTGATGAACCAGTTAAGTTGCATCGTGGCGTGTCGTTCGTATACACTGGTGGTAGTTCTGCAGCTTCATACAAAAATAAATAAATTAATATAGAACAAATTATGAAAGGAAATCCTACTAATATATAGTGATCAAGAAGCTATTTGTATGATCTCTGTCAGTCTAATGCCGGAATACTGAAACGTTACTCAATTTTAAGTCGTGCTTAAATATAGTGCCATCTCTGTCATTTTGCAAAGAATTTGTGGAGATAGAACTATACTTAAGCGCGACTTAAAATTGAGTAGCATTTGAGTATTTCGACATAAGTGAATGAATTACAATTCAACTGTACAGTTTTACAGTTTTACGGTACAGTTAGACGGTACAGTTAGACTGTACAGTTAAATTGTAAGGTGTGTAGAGCAAACAGTTGAAATGTACAGCTTTAATACTATGTGCAACGTCTGCTATCGAAAAAAACATAGGTACAGTTTCGTACTAAACTTAGTTTTTTTCAACCATTGGTACACGTACTGAAAGTGTGTAGCCTGTATTGACCTACGATTTAACTGTACATTTCGACTGTATAGCTAAAACTGTACAGTTAAATCGTAAGTTGTATAGCGTGCATTAGGTAAGTAGAAATAACAAAGCCATTATTAAATAAATGGCTGGACTAGACTCAAGTTATTAAAATTTATCGAATTTAATGTCAAAGTCAAAGCATTTATTTTAATTAAACCATAATTTGGTACTTTTGAAACGTCAACAAATACAAAATAAATAATAGTCTGTCAGTCAGTCCGTCAGTGAAGGTAGGTGAAGCTAGGTGTTAATGTTTTGTTGCTTACCTATATTTTTAAAGAATGGCTTCATAGACATAAACCAGTAGTAGGAAGAATTGAAGGCGTTTTGGTAATCTGAAAATTTAATACGCAAGCTGATCATTTTAATGACCATAATTTTTGGCTTATTTGGGGAAGAAGTCCAATCCTCAAATTCCTAATCCCCAAAAGGCCGGTAACGCACTTGGACACCTGGAACAATCCAGGTGTCTATGGGCGGCGCCGATAGCTTACCATCAGGTGATCCGTCTGCTTGTTTACCGGCTTATCCCACAAAAAAGTTCATCACCACATCGAAGGGAGCCTGGGTATCTTCAAGGCCCGAGTGAATAAGTTCCTTATGGGACGACGTGCTCCATCGTAGACCGCATCATCGCTTACCACCAGGCGAGATAGTGGTGGTGACGCAGTGGTGATAATGGTGACGCAGTTAAACAGTTTTCTAAGTGGTTGGCAAGACACACATGTTGCCTCTAATGTTTTTATTTATTTATTTATTCATATTGCACAATGTACATATTATAGGAAGTATTACATACAACTAATTCAGTACATTACCTTGTTAGGGCGCAGCAATTTAAAACGTTACAAAATTTAATGTCAACTGAAATTTATAACTGTTTCTTAGAGCTATAACTATATCTATATATTAACTATGTCTGGTGTCGCTGATGTAATTGTAACCGTTAAGTGTAAGTGTTATAGTGGGTTATTCCCAATAGATAGACATATACCATCGCGGACTTTTTTATTGAACTTTTTAAGGTGGTCAATACTGTAGTACATTATTTTGGTCTATCTCATAGAGTACAGCCGGCGTTTGCAATATAAGCGCAAAAAATTGCTAATTTACGACATCTTTAGTAGATCTAATCTAGGTAGTAACAAACCGTAAACTTTGTTACTATACTGAATTACTGATGTATCAAAAAATGATGTTATCCTACTGATATTATAAATGTTGTGGTAGCCCAGAGGCCCGCCTGCTTCTCATGCACGGGAGTGCAGGTTTGTCAACCCGCATTGAGCAAGCGTCGTGATTAATGCTCAAACTTTCTCCGTACGAGAAGATGCATTTGGTCAGCATTTATAGGCTACTGATGTGTGGTGTGATTATAAATGTGTTGTATGTATGTATGTTTGTTAGGTACCCTTTCACGTCAAAACAGAGGTAAATTATGGTCTGGGATTACAAATAAGCGACTATTTATCCACGAGAACGTGGGCAAAGCCGTGGTAAAAGCTAGTAACTATATATGTAGGAAACTCACCCATAAAAGCGTCCTGCGAATTCACTAAAGAATATCTATAACGAGAAGTCGAACCATTTTGGGGACTTGTGCTAAGCTTTGTGACGTCATAAGTTCTTCTCCTACCGCTTTTTGTTATGATATCGTAGTACATCGATAGATGGAAGTAACAATCTATGATAATGATGAGACATAGTAAAAAGATCCCCACTCTACGGGTGTTGAAGCAAGGGTAGGCATCCATTCTTCTGCTTCAAATCTTTCGTCAATAACTGATGAGGTTGTACTCTGAAACGTCAATGGCGCTTAAAAAATCTTTTTATATATAATTCTTCTGTGAGTGTGTATGTCACTGAACTTCTCTCAAACGACTGGACCGAATTTGATGAAATATTTGTGTGTGTTCAAGGGATCTGGGAATGGTTTAGATTCACAAATCAGCCCGGCAGATGGCGCTGCAGTCGTAGTCTAGGTTAGTTATCCTAAACGACGGAACTAGTTTGAATGATTTTTTGTTTATACATTCAACTATTCAAGTGGATATGCAGGACAACGTCTGTAGGGTCCGCTAGTTGCAATATAATGTTGGTTTTAACACCAGGGAATTTTCTTTCGGTCAATAGAGCTTAGGCTCATAGCACACAGCGTATTTTTATACGCACACAAAGCGCGCGTATTAAGAATCCGCGTTTTCAGCACCGTAGCCGCTGATTGTTGCACTTGCATTGATGATACGCGCAGTAGACGTGCGTTGCCTGCGCGTATAAAAATACACCGTGTGCTATGGGCCTTCGTTCTCACTGCCGACGTTGCCAGCAACTTCATAAGCCATAGTTCTCTTCAACCTAAGCTAATAGGCATTAAGGGACCTAACCAGCATGCGGCTGGCAGACCTAACCTAACTGTACTTTTCTGGTATTTATTTATTTATGTATTTTATTTTCAGCCATGATCGTCACACTGCAGGGCAAATGCTACCCTGCCTTCCTTCTACTGTAAAGTTTTTTTTTGGCCAATCCTTGTCATACATGTCTAATTCGTCCCGCCATCTCCTTTTGGGCCTGCCGCGACGTCTACTGACTTTTTTGGTATAAGACACATATTATGTAGGTAGTTACTATGCGATAATTAATATACTTACTGCGCTGAAATTTGAAGTAAACATGTTATAATAATCCAGTTCAAATTACTAAGTTGAACTATATCATGAAATAATTAAAAAAAATATATAGTTTGCTATCGAAATTCACTCATAACGATAACTCTTTTTATAATTTTAGTAATTTAAAATTTTCAATCGAGATTTTATTCATTGAATAATTGATGTTTGTTTGAAATAATCTACATCAATTTGACAATATCACTTTTAAAAGGTTAGTCTTTGGGAGAGAAGAGACAAGATATTTGTACTTATATCCTTTATTTATTTCTATACTTGACTTATATCTTTTTAAATATTTGATTATATAAAAAAAACATTTAAAAATATAAAAAGCAGTAGCCCACCAGTAACGGAAGAAATCCAAGCTACAGGTGGTCAGGGCTCCAGAGAAAAAAATTTCCGGACAATACGCGCCGTGTCCAGAATACTTTCTGCATCAGGCCCTTGACCCAACCATCTAACGCTAGCCTACTCAGATGTTGGTCGAGGCTTTTAGAGGCCATTGGCAGATACGACTATCTACGACTATACTTAATATTATTGTACTCTTTGATATTGTACGGCGATTTGGCGATTTGTTATAGGCGTTGTCGTAGGGTAGGAAAAAATCATAACGACTTACATATATACATCATAACGATATTACCCTTGTTGCCCCTCCAGCAAAAAGTAAAAGGCTTTAGACCCTATTTGAGAATCGAGGATTTACTTCTATACCCTTTATGCTAGAATACAAATAATAATACTCTCCAAAATACATACATACATACATACATAATTTCACACCCATCTCCCAAAGGGGGGAGAGACTATAGAACGCCAATTCCCCGAGAATCTGCCAACCAGAGGTTGTAACGGATTGATTGTTAACAATCAGAGTGCTCATTTGCCCGCCTATCCCATAAAATTAACCAGGCCTGAGCGTACGTCGCGTCGCTTTCTGTGCGCGCCTCAAGGAGCCATCAGACCACCACAGATAGGGCCCAATAGGGCTGATACCGATACGGAGCCGCGGAGAACTTAACGGGTTACCGGGGCTACGGCTCGAAGTGCAGGAGAACGAACGGGGGATTTTTAATCAGTAAGAGTCTGACACTTCCCCTGGCCTCACCCGGGCAAAAGACATCATTCGATGAATTTCCCCTCTCAAAAAACCCATGAAATTATATACTAAAATTCCATTGGTTCAAATTACACAAAATTTCGTTCAATATTTTTTTAATTTATTGCCTTATGATAGATAACCACGTAGTAAAAGACTTCTTAATATTATATTAACGTCGTACAAATGGTAAATGTTTTGTTCGACTACTTTCGGGTCATACCAGGGGCCTTAAACATAGAAATTGTAAGCATAGTAAGTTTAAACATAGTAATAAAACACGTGATGATGTTTATAATGTAATATAATGTAAGTAATTTTGCAAAGGACAGTAGGTAAAGAACTCTCCATGACTAATTTACATACGAAATTACCTACTAATTAAGCGTACAATTTACATTAAAGCTATTTCTATATATTTGAAAGTATTTCTGTCATGTTATAAATATTTCAATCAATATTATCATTTCAAAAACAGTAACAAATGTAATATTCAATGATGTATTGCTAAATAATTTCCCATTATTGCTCGGTAATGTAATTGTTTTTGCCTTATGAAATTACATTCATAGTTACCATATTTAATTTAATATATGTATATCTGACTGTTTTACAGAGAAAAGTACGGTGATATTAATATTTAAACAAATTGATCACCCATTTTACAAAATTTATACTAGCAAATATAATCTATTAGATAAATAATTATGATAATTTTATCAATTTATTTAGACAAATAAGCATCATACTTTAATTTCAATTGTAATTATTAACAATTAGCCGATTTTTAAATTTCATTCTGTCTATCTTTACCAAATCTGGATCCTTGTCATGCATAAACCACTAGTCTTAACCACTTTTAACCACTTTTAACCCAGTTTTAACCACTTTCTAGTTTTAAAATTATATTATACATTTTCAAATGATTTTATCATGACTACGTCTCCAATAACTGCAAATACCAAACCATCGTACCTTACCTATGTGAAGTGGATTTAGTGAACCTTTTATTTTTTAATTTTAACATTTTCACTGTTAATTTTGTTTTTAAAGGATAGCCGAGTCGAAATTCTTCTAGACCAAATACTATACTGTCGCCGTATAATTCTAGAAGTTTCTGTATCAAAGTCTTTATATCGAATTTCATTTTTGTTGGGTTAACATCGGCTAGGATGTGTGTGTACAATTTTTCTTTAACGACTTTTATTAATTTATACACCGTTGTAATTAGACCTTCTTTTTGAGCCCTCTTCTTGGATATCATGAGGAGCAAGCTTCTGTAAAAGATGACAAGAAGATATAATGGTTAGTTATTCACATCTCAGCTGGGTAATTCTGTAAAAGGTCAATTTGAACTCTCGAGGTACGGCTTCCAATCCTGTGGGCTTACTCTCGAATCCAATTCCGATCGATCGACATTGATATTGTGAAATTTCCTACTCTTGAGTTTCAACACTAGCGCCCATTGCATCCGTATTGCGTGGATATTTAATGAAATAAATGGTATTGAGTTTGTTTTTATATTCCGTACTCTGAATACTATTTTAACAACTACAATATGGGTTGTATAATTTTGACATTGAATAATTATTGAGGTTTCATTGGATTGCAATTGCATTGACATTGAGATTGGTTTCAAGAGTAAGCACCCCCAGATATTCGTATTATCCGGATTTTGAAATCTGGATTTTACTTGCATCACACCTGGATTTTTCGGATAGTCGTCGTTCGCGCGAAAAAAGTATTATATCTTGCTTTTTTTAACTGGTTCGGAAGGAGGCTTTCAGTTTTTAAGCGTTTGTATCTCGCAGTGACCTTGATCGCATTCTCGTCTGTTATTGGTCTGGATAAATCTCAAAACCAATAACTTCGATCTTTCGAATTGACATCTTACAGAACAGCCTTTCAGGTTAAGTAGAAAAGAGACACGACTGAATGGAGATGTATTTTTTTATGGCATAAGCCGGTAAACGATCTGACGGATCACCTGAATGGGCTGGCTCCACCGGAGTGATACTATGGCCTCACAGAAAACCGACGTGAAGCAACGCTTGCGTTGTGTTTCGTCGTGTGAGTGAAGTTACCAGAGGCCCAATTAGCCTCCCCCCTCCCCAATCTCTCCAATCCCTGAATCCCCAACGATCGTCAAATTCTTAATCCCCAAAAGGCCGGTAACGCATTTGTAACGCCTCTGGTTCCAGGTGTCTATGGGCGATGCCGATTGTTTACAATCAGATGAGATGATATCAGATGATCCATCTGCACGTTTACCAACCTAACCCATAAAAATAATTAAATAGTTAGACACACATATATCCACTTATAGACTTGGGAGCAAAAAACGGAGCCACTGACATTTTTTTCATTTCCATTTCTTGATAAGTATTTTCTGTTACAAGTATTTTAATCACGCAATTTAGTTACCTTTAACATTAGAGCATTTTGTTGTAAAAAGAATAATGTATTTCAAAGTTATAGAGGGGTTTGATGAAATAAAAACCACCGCTAAGTCGTGGCTCCGTTCCTTTGCTACAAAGTGTAGATGAAGATGACGCTATCTCATAGCTTTTGTGGAAATGATGGAACTAAAAAAATATTGCCTCCACTTCGGACATCAGCGCTTCGGGAGTCCATCGACCTTCAAGATCGTAAATTCCAAGAACAACGAATTACCTTTCTGAACCCTCTGCATTGCGTTTGTGAGGCAGCGTAGCATAGCGGCCGTACGTCAAGTTGTACCGAAAGATGGTCATGTTTCGACCCTCTATTCTGAAATAAACAAAGTGCATTTTTATTCTCTGAAATATACGAACACGCCTGTCTCCCATTGGGGTAGGTAGACACTATGGCACGCGAATCGCAACGATTCTAACATACCTCTTTCTCTTTATCAGTCTTTGAAACATCGTTTAAATCGTTAAACTATCTAACTACAACCTTTACGTGTTACTTGTAGGTTGGTTTAAACTAAAATGTCGTTAGGTGCCACCTATCTTAGTTTAGGGGTTCCTTGAATTTTAAGAGAGCTTGGTGTAAACAGGCATACCTACGAATCAAATGATTTTTAGCAAGAATATATGTAATTTGAATAATATAATTGCGTAAATTTTTATGTAAACACAAACGCCAATGGAATTCAACCACTTCTTAATTTGAAAATACCATAAACAGCTAAGTTATTCTTTAACTGTCAATTTGACTTTCAAAGTTAGCTTGATCGCATTCTTGCTCGTCATTGGTCGAGATAATTCTCACATCCAATGGTATGGCGGACCGCGACCGAGTTCACTTCGATTTTCAAATAAGGTAGTAAGTATCATACATTTTTATATTGTCCGTCTGGTAGATTATTTTAAAACATTAGATACATATTTATACTTTGCTTACAAAATTAAATAGTTACTTTCGACTATATATTGATTGAAATATCGTGTGACGTCACGATTTACTACAATTCATAGGGTTTTTTTAAGGGGGGAAAATCATCGAATGACTGCTCCCGCCTGGGTGAGGCGGGAGGGAGTGTCAGACTCTTACTGACTAAAAACCACCCCGTTCCTTCTCCTGCACGTCGAGCCGGAGCCCCGGTTACCCGTTAGGTTCTCCGCGACTCCGAATCACAATTCATAGGGTAGCGTGACGTAACGACCTCCCAAATCCTAAACTTAACTTTGTTTTATCTAAGTATTGTTTTCTTATAAGTACGACAAAATAAAAAAATACGTGTCTAATATTTTTTCATTATTTAACTGACGGACTAATTACATTTTTAATTTTTATACACAACCTGTTATAGAAATCATCGTCTTCTCCGCCCCAATCCCAATAGAAATTAGAATAACCATTGACTGTTGTATATTGTTCTGGAGTGAGGGCAGTGACACCACCGAAGATGGTCGGGTACAGAAGACTGGAACAAGACATTTCTATAAACTTAGGACCGATTTCTAACCGACTTCAAAAAAAGGAGGAGGCACCGACTTCTAACCTATCAGTGGGTGTGTAAGCTATAAGTATCTACTTATGACCAATAATAGTTATTTTTTTTCAACATATTTTTTAGAATTTTATGACCAATAATAGTTTTTCTTAAATCAAATTCAAAGTGTAATTCACTTTTACTCGAATGGAGGTAAAGTTTGAAAGCTAGCTAACCTAATTCTTATTCTATACCTGTAATTAAATGATTCTACAGCAGCAGCCAAATGTATTGGATGGTCAGAGCAGGTGTAGGGGATCCTCTCGTCCTCAGGGATCAGATCCACGTCGTGGAAGATCAAGCAGTCCCAGGTACCAAACAGCTGAGTCTCTAGGTACGCGATGTTGTACAGAGTACCCTTGTTGAACTTCTCCGTCCCTTTAAAATCAAAATATTATCAAAAGGAAACTTGACAACCGTTTAATTTGTTCATAACTTTGTTTTGACAAAAGTTTTTTTTATGGCATAAGCTGGTAAACGAGCTGACGGATCACCTGATGGTAAGCAATCGGCGTCGTCCATGGACACCTGGAACACCAGAGGCGTTACAAGTTACCGGCCTTTTGGGGATTGGGAGTTTGAGGATCGTTGGGGATTCAGGAATTGGGGAGATTGGAGAAGGGGGGGTAATTGGGCCTCCGGTAACCTCACTCACACGACGAAACATTGCAAGCGTTGCTTCACGTCGGTTTTCTGTGAGGCCGTGGTATCACTCCGGTCGAGCCGGCCGTTAGTCAAGTGTTACAAAAAAAAACTTGACTATTTATTATTACATAGGTACAAATCTGTGACATCCCCTGTGTCTTACCGAATTGTTCTATGACGAAAATCCTATACTCCAAGAGTTGTTTTTTCAGGTATTTATGTATATGAAGCAGGAAAATACCAAGGTTCACTTGCCGGTCTCTGAAAGTTATGAAGAAAAATATTAATATCGTCAACATGAACAGCGCGAGGCAAACAACTGCTAGACTATAATTAGACCTCTACAAAGAGAGGGTTATATTTATCAATAACATAACATAATATCAGGCCTTTTATCGTCGAAGGGGTAGGCAGAGGTGCACATTATACCACTGTACAATGTAACACCCACTTTTTACTATTTATGTTATGCAGGGCCGGATTTAGGGGGGGGGGGCAACCGGGGCGAAAGCCCCGGGGCTTCCACAAGCAGGGGGCCTCCACAATAGACGTCGGAAAAAAAAATCTTTCAAATTTCAACTAGTAAACCTAGTAAACATCTTTTCTTTGATACTTTTTTTTCGCTTTTACCTTTACCTACAGCCTAAAGTACTTTATACATACATGATTATTTGATTATATTAATTTTAAATATTAACAGAAACAGAAATCATTGATCTACCTCTATTTGTTCTTTCCAATCAGGCAATCAGTGAAATATCAAAATCTCAAATGGCTCTGATAAGCACTTCCAATTTACTACCCATCTTGAGGGAGTACCCCAATGGCTCAATGGCTCAGTGGGATGATACTTGCCCGCAACCTCGGAGGTTGGCTATTCGATTCCGTGTCTCGACCATGAAAAAAATCAATTGCAGTATGTGAACAATTGGTATTCTTCAATTCTTAAACTCGAAATCTGTCGAGCGTCCTCGAAATCTATCGAGCATCCTCGATCGTTTTCGAGCGTCCTCGAAATCTATCGAGAGTCCTCGATCGTTTTCGAGCGTCCTCGAAATCTATCGGGCGTCCTCGAAATCTATTGAGCGTCCTCGAAATCCATCGAGCGTCCTCGATTGTTTTCGAGCGTCCTCGAAATCAATCGAGCGTCCTCGATTGTTTTTGAGCGTCCTCGAAATCTATCGAGCGTCCTCGATTGTTTTCGAGCGTCCTCAAAATCTATAGGGCGTCCTCGATCGTTTTCGAGCATCCTCGATTGTTTTCGAGCGTCCTCGAAATCAATCGAGCGTCCTCGATCGTTTTCGAGCGTCCTCGAAATCTATCGGGCGTCCTCGAAATCTATCGAGCGTCCTCGAAATCAATCGAGCGTCCTCGATCGCTTTCGAGCGTCCTCGAAATCTATCGGGCATCCTCGAAATCTATCGAGCGTCCTCGAAATCAATCGAGCGTCCTCGAAATCTATCGAGGGTCCTCGAAATGAATCGAGCGTCCTCGATTGTTTTCGAGCGTCCTCGAAATCAATCGAGCGTCCTCGATTGTTTTTGAGCGTCCTCGAAATCTATCGAGCGTCCTCGATTGTTTTCGAGCGTCCTCAAAATCTATAGGGCGTCCTCGATCGTTTTCGAGCATCCTCGATTGTTTTCGAGCGTCCTCGAAATCTATCGAGAGTCCTCGAAATCTATCGAGCGTCCTCGAAATCAATCGAGCGTCCTCGATCGTTTTCGAGCGTCCTCGAAATCAAGCGAGCGTCCTCGATCTCAATCTGGAAAATAATTTGGGGCAAGGGGGCCTCCACTCCTTTGTTGCCCCGAGGCCTCTGGACCCCTAAATCCGGCCCTGATGTTATGAGTCTCAATAATAGGGGGTGACCCTATTGCCATATACCGGGCACAATTTCAGACTCCGTGCTACTACTGAGAGTATTTAAAAACCCAGTAATACTTTGCTCGACCCGGGAATCGAACCCAAGACCCCTTGCCCGGCAGTCGCCCGTGCGACCACTCGGTCAACGAGGCAGTCAATAATTTTATCAATAATCTGTTTAAAAGTGGGCGGTACTGTTATATCCAAGGAATGTACCCCTTAACCCCGCCATAATGCTGACACTTCACTCCTCGCCTCAAATACACACACCCCCACTGTCACTTTATTCCATCCACAATCTCGCCACTCGTGAGTGACATTAGAAATAATATGTATTAACTAGCTTTTACCCGCGGCTTCGCTCGCGTCACAAAAGGATAAAAACAAGCCTATGTGACATATACCAATACACACAGCGCCATCTATACCAATACTTTTGTTTTTCCTCGGGAATATCAATTTTTTCCGGGTTAAAAAGTATCCTATTATTTAATCCGGACTTCTAACTTTACGTCTGCAAAAATTCAAAGCAATCGGTTGAGTAGCTACGGCGTGAAGGTGGAACAAACAAACAAACTCACTTTCAGATTTATAATATTAGTAAGGATATATAGTAAGGATTGGTGAACTTAAATAGAAACCATTTGGTCTTAGAACTACAGTGTTCCTGTAAGAAGAGAACTTAAAATACCAAACTGCTGAGCAAAGCCTCTTCTTATACGAAGAAGGTTTGAGCATTAATCTCTACGCTTGCTCATTGCGGATTGGCGATTTCAAACTTTCAATTACAAATTATAAGTCCAGGTTTCCTCACGATGTATTCCTTCACCGTTTGTCAGTGGTGTCTGAATAATCTTAGAAAGTACATATAACTTCTTCATTATATTTAATTAGTTTATATTGTGTGATATGTATAATTTATATATGATGTTAATTATATGTAATGTTAATTATTGTGTTATTGTAATAAGTGTTAAACGTTTACACCTACTATTGTGTCTCTCTGCATCACCCTAAGGTTGACTGTTAGAGAATGCCACTAGGCATTAAGTCCGCCATTGTATATCTACAAGAAGTGTAAATAAAATAAAATAAAAATAAATAACTCGGAAAAAGTCACATTGGTATTTGCCGTTGGTAGATTTTGAACGCTCATGCTTGAGAAGCGGGTGTTTTAACCTCGGGGCCACCACTACACACCAAATCTAACAGTACGTTACCCAAAATGGGTGCTATGTACCTCTATATTAACTACATAGTAATAAGAGTACGAAGGTCAAAGAGGTTTCGGTTACCGGTACGGCACTATGATAGCCACACGTTGCTTCGGTCGACAGTAGGCCGGGGCATAGTAACCTCCTGGTTTCACGTGGTTGTTAATTTTTGCTACCCATTCCAAATCTACTTCACTTTTATCCACTTCTATCGGTCCTGTAGAAAATATGAGTTAGCCTTATTTCTCAATTTCTTACCTTTTTTCTTCGCTTTTAAATGGCTTTTTATTCTGCTCTTAACATGATGCAAGATAATTATAACTTGTCTCTCTGTTTTAAAGAATATGATTAGCAGAAGATGCAGCTGTATACAAAAAAAATCTGACCGAACATTTACACTACAGCCGATACAGTTTTAACCGCGGCTTTGCCCGTTGCCGGCGTGAATTTGTTTTTGAAAAATTCACAAACTAGTTTAAAGAAGACGAAGACAAACAAACTTTCGCATTTCACTTAGTTGGAGTTTAAAAATAAATAATACAAAGAGGATTTTTTAAGATACTTACCAAAAGTTTTGCTCAATGGCCATAAGTTGCAAAGTCTTTCTTCCGAATACTTTTGTGTTACGTCTTAAAAAATCAAATATTGTTAGAATTTAGAAACAAATAAGTAATTAGGTAAGGGTAAAAGCCATCATACAAGATGATACACACACACACTGACACAGTAAAAATACCAGTAGGCGAGATAGTGACCAAACCTCAATACGATGACCTATCAAGTAAAAAAACAGTCGGGGAAAGAGAGACATAAATCGACCTGAAACAACACTTGCGTTGTGTTTCGTCGTGTGAGTGAGGTTACCGAAGGCCTACCCTTCTCCATTCTTGCCAATCCCTGAATCTCCTCAAAAGGCCGGCAACGCACATAACGCCTGTGTTCCAGGTGTCCATGGGCGACGCCGATTGCTTACCATCAGGTGATCCGTCTGCTCGTTTACCGGCTTATGCCATAAAAGAGACATGATCACTACATCATTTTTTTCTAATCATATAATTAGGTAACTACAACTTTCATACGGCCTATCTGTTGGTTATTGGGGGAGGCGTATGTTCAGCAGTAGACGTTTTGTGGTTGATGTCATGATGATGAACCAGTGCCTCTTTGATCATGGAATTAGGTCCGGTATAATAACAATAGACTCAGTCCCTATTACATGGGACTCATTGCATGACATTCTAGTTGTTGAAAAGGTGGTGTAGTTAAATTGTATACCTCCGGAGCAAGTCTCTTTTACGTCCAGTTTCTATAACCTATCTATTCTATCACATAATTATGACACATTTTGTATGGAGCTCGAGTCAAAATTCTATCTCTATTAAGCAAATCTACAGATAGATAGGTTATAGAAACTGGACGTAAGAGGACCCGGTGCCTCCATACACGTGTTGAAGGTGGCCACCAGGATTGTTTTAGTGAGGTAAAAATCCCACACACCCTAGTCTTGTATCCCCAAAAACCTATGCGCCCTTTGAAAGGTCATCAAGAGAAAAGGTAAATTGTATACACCATGTATACAATTTACCACTATGTTATGTGCCACTATGAAAAGGGTAGTCGTGACGTTATATAAAGAAAAAAATGCATAATTATGAAGACATTTTCAATTATGTACTCACCAATATTTTTCAACAGCGGTTTCATCGCCATGAACCAGTGATATGAAGAGTTGTAGTTGAAGATATCTGTAAAATAAACCTCCTTAAATGAGGATTCATAGGCTCAATTACAATTTTACAAAACAGTAACAGAAAATTACTTTGGGAGTTGATGCAATGTCATGATACGTACCCATTGCGACTTTGAAGCCACTCTCCAAGGGATATTTGTAATAACTCTCGATAACTATTCTTGCCTTCGTGTCGTTAACGACATTATACTTTAGGTTTTTAGCTCTCGATGTATTACTGTCTCCCAGCAGATCGAAGCAACACTTCAATATAAATAATAGGATGAGCAAAAAAACGCAGCGATACTGCGTAAAACGGATAAAACGGAACCGATAACGCATTACTGCGTCTGTGGAAGGCTATGTTGTGATGTAAGAGTTGAAGTCGCAATGGACTTGTAAATCCAACGTTAGTGTCTGTTGTACATGGTGCTCAAAATACTGTTTCGTTTGGTAATTTTTTCGAAAGCGTTGCTTAAGAAAACGATGGCGAATTTAGGAATGGGAGGGTTCCAGGAAAACCCCTTTGCCGCACTGATTCTTTGGTCACTGGATACGGTTGCCTTAACCAACTGAAGAGGAACAGCTTTCAGGCTGCACTGTCTAATTATTCCTAAGTTACCGAAATGCCACATTTGATGTGTAATGATATCAAGGATTATAATGAATTAAGAGATAATTTTAATAAAAATATTTGTAAATATGGCATTTCAAATATTTATTGATATTTCCAATTACTCTGTTGCGTCTGTGATTTTGTCTATGGATTTGACATAGACGGTTGAGGTTCGAACTTTAGCCAAAAAGATGCGACGCTTGTCAGCTTGTTCTACTTCTTGTGGTACTTTAAGATGCTCCTTTTTTATGGAATAGGAGGCAAACGAGCAGAAGGATCACCTGATGGTAAGTTATCAGCGCCTCTTATGGACATCCGCAACCAGAGGAGTCACAGGTGCGTTGCCGGCCTTTTAAAAAGGAATACGCTTTTTTTTGAAGGCTTGAAGGTATATCGGTTCGGAAATACCGCCGACGACACATCATTCCATAGTTTTGCTGTGCGAGGCAGAAAGCTACGCGAGAAGCCCCTCTGTCGTAAGGTTCGATGGCGAAAAGATGCAGGTATCAGGTCAAACAATTCCTATAGCGATAGAAAATGAACAACTTAAGTAGGTATTTACCTACCTTTACCTAAAGGTAATATTTTTTGCACATTTTTCGAGTCACATTTCTCAATAGGTAGTGATTTAGTTGTGTGTGAGTGACTATGAGTCATGAGATGAGATGTTCAGCTCATTGGACGTCCTGTGGCTGATATGACAATGATGAGTGACTTAAAATTACATTGGCATTTCCAGATTGTCTCATTTTTTATTACTTCTGTCTTTATCATAAGTTACTTTGAATGAGGCTAAATCATTAGATTTTTACTTTACTATCCTTGCCTTTCCTTTTACGTTTTGGCACCTTCGCTGAATAAGTATAAACGGACGACGCCACACAGAGCCGTCCCGCTCGATGCGACGGTAACTGACGGCTCTGTAATATCTAGTACATTACAAGTGCTCAGTGTCGCGCCGCCCCTGCTGTGTACAGAGACCTTAAACGCTGAATATTTAAAACATGGAGGTTGATTATATAGCACCAATGTTAGGCAAAGACAAGACAAGGACCTATTCTTGCTATGTGCGAAAAAGGAATGAAGCTGAAAAGAGTATAAGTATACGGTTAGGGGATGAAGGTACACGCAGGTAAATAAATATTCTTTAAAAAGGAGTAATTCTTGACATTAGAAATATGTCAGTTGATTGGCAGAAGTAGGAAATTTGTTCGAGTAGGGATTAGCTAAAGATAATTATAATAAAATTATTTTGTTCTCAATTAAATAAATAAGCGTAAAAATATCAAATGATTCGCGTTAGAAGTTGGGACATCATCAAGGTGTACAGCCTTAGACAGTGTTGTGCCTGTCTCATAGTATCCGGGATTCATTCTCGGTACTTTTTAGGGTCCTGTCCAAGACCTGGTACGATACGGAAATAGAAAATCTAATTCCATCCTCAAGCCATACATGGCTCAGCTATTGACGATGTCACTAAAATTGTAGGGGAAAATGAGAAAATGGACAACAAATATAAGTAGTTGACTTAGTCTTACAGGCTTAAATACTTTTACAAAAGCCTTAAACTTGACTACCTATTTGCAATGAAAATATGGACTCATTTGTTCGGGGTTGTTCAGAATACTATAGAGCTGAACATGCGCAGTTCTGGTATTCTAAACTGACAATAAAACCCCTGTAAGTAAGTATTGTGTGCCTTATTATACCTAAATAACAGCAATTTCTGTCTCCATTTTGATTTCGTTGTTGGTTGTCTATCTATCTGGTTGAATGCACTGCGTACTGAGCGTAGTTCACGCTAATTTTTGAGATTTTATTGTATAGATCTTGACTTCAGCTATTTAGAAACCATTAAAATATAAAATCATTTAGAAAATATTTGCGTTTTGAACACAAAAGGTAATTTTATGTAGTTCTGCCTAAAAAAAATTGAAAAAATAAGAAATTATAATTGTCCACAGTTCAGCATTTAGAAGATGGATTTCCAATCAGCAATGGATCACAAAGAGAAACGCATGGGTATACATCATCTCATGATCTTTGCTGCGGATCAGTTTCAGAAGAAAATTAGGGAGAGCTTTCAAAATTTTTGCACTCGACGAAAATGGGTGGTCTTGTTATCAATTATTCTTGTGTTTGAGTGTTATCGCAACGTGGTGTCAAACTCCAATCAACTGCAGAGTGGTAACAATAAACTAAATCATACTGACAAGATAACTCAGAAGTTTGAGTTTTGGAAAGCTGGACTTCTTCATTTCAAGTATTCCTTTACGAACGTACATTCCTCCATTGGTAAGTGTTTTGTTATTTACATTACTATTTTACTAAGATTATATAGCAAACTAGCAAACCCGGCGAACTCCGTTTCGCCACCAGATGGCTTCGTTTTATGTAACATTTCGTTGGGTAATAAAAAGATGAAGAAAAATTTTTTTGTTTTATATTTTATAAACCTCACGGAGCCCGAGACCTTTCCAACGAATGCAAAACCGTGGAAATCGGTTCGTGCGTTCTGGAGTTATAGCGTCAGGAAGGAAAACCCGACTTATTTTTCTATAGTAGATGATGGATGGTAAGCAATTATTGTCACCCCTGAAATACCCATAACATCAAAGAATAACACTAGACGTACAAATGCATTGCTAGCTAGAGACGTCAAGTCCAGGGTGGATTCGGAAAATTAGGCATCTGGTAACCGTACTCATACGGGCGAAATACAACTTAACTTTTCTTTTTCTCAACAGACGCATACTCTTGAACTCAATATTCGACGCGAGGAGGACTTACTTCAATCAAGCGTAAATTATTAAGTCAATTTTATTTTCTCACATTTTAGTAGACATCGTCCAATACAAAATATTAGGTATTAGATATATCGAACGTGTTTTAAGAGGCATGTAGTGTATATTTTGCAAAAGTTTCATGAATTTACATGGTGTAAAAATATCACAGACACACTACGATAGCTAAATGAAAACTCTTTGCCACTTGTAATAAGACGCAGTTTCCTATAGATGTAGGTTTATTTATATAATTGGAATTTTAAAAATGTGAAATCGTTTACCAATAAATCCAACTTGGATTGTAATTCTTTCGGTGAATTAGAGTTTTCTTTTTGTTACATTCTTTTGTCTTATTTTTTAGTCGTATTTTTGTTTACGTATACATAAACAGATATTTAATTAATTAATTTTAATAAAATAAAGTAAAATTGTGAAAATGCAAATCTGTGTTTCTTTTTTTTTCAATTAATGTTCTTTCTTTTGGGAGTCTCACTAGGCAAACTAGCAATAGGCTCACCCCCTATTACATGGGACTCATAACATAAATAGTGAAAAGTGGGTGTTACATTGTACAGTGGTATAATGTGCACCCCTGCCTACTCCTTTGAGGATAAAAGGCGTGATTTCTTTTGGGAGTCCAAAAAGGCGTCTACGTTTTGGTGAGGAAAATCAGGAAAGTCGGGATTCTCACGTTGTTAAAAGAACTCCGGTGGTCACCATCAGCCCATAGGAGAGTACCCAGAAGCACCATAGAATTAGGTGAAACATCTGTTATGGTATGAAACTGTGGCGACCTTCGATCAACAATAACAACTAGATATCGGGTCGGCGCAAGAAAATCGTCTCGACAAATAAGAGCTCACTTGAAAAGTGAGCTCTTATTTTGTTTAGTATGCTCCAAACATGGCCAACGTAATCACGTCTCACGATGCTGCAGTGCGTAATTGCAAGTTGCAAAAATAATAACCGAAAAAGCAGTATAACGGCTGGAGTGTCTTACTTTCGATAAGGAAATAAATTATAAGTTATATTTTAAGCTTTTAAATTAGTAAATAATATCAAATTAGACAAAATTACCAAATATAAACCAACGCCACCAATGTTTGTGCGTGTGTTGGCGATCCCTTGGCCAAGCCTCGCCAACACGCGCACAAACATTTGTTTAAACAGAACAGTGGATGCAATGGAGTCGATTTGTATTTTAAAACAAATTTATATTGTAACCTGATTGGAAAAGAGTACTTAACCTATGGAATTTCTTGCTCGTTCTTCTCCATAGGAATCTACACCTTAAAATGAGCAAATAGCTTCACTTTAAAATTTATATTGTTGACGTTCAAAAGTGCCTTCCTGGTCTAACTGAAATAAATGATTTTGACTTAGACTTTTAATGACAAAGTTAATAAACATATGATACACAAAAACGTACCGCTAATAAAAATAAGTGATGTATACTAAGATCCCGAAAATAAAATTATTTTAGTGTTCAACACGACTCCATACATACCTCCTGTAGCGAAATTCAAAATTCGAAGAAGCAAAACGAAACAAAACAAAACGATATAGATCACAAGGCAATAACGGAAAAATTATCTTTATTTGTTCTAGCTTAAGGTTGAAATCAAACTAGATATTTTATAACTTATGTCTTTTAATTTCTACATGACAGGAGTAAGAAAATGCTTTTCTCGTCTTATGTGACGAATGGTCGTAAGTATTAGATAATATTTTGACGATTTATGACTTTATTATTAGGTGCCATGGTTGTTATTAGGTTGAACTTAAAACCATTTTAAAACATTTTTCTCAGTTTGTTATTTTTTTACTATTATTATTCACACGGACAGAACTGGAGCTTGATTTTGTACGTAACCCTTTATCTAGTTGCTATTGTTGATCGAAGGTGGCGACACATGTCAACGGATGACGTCATAAAACCCTACATCGCACATACGAAGTTTACAATCGAATTAACACGAGTAGAAAATCGCAACGAACAACTGTTGAGCAGAAAGCCCGCCAGGCACGATCACCTCCCTGGTCGGAGGATTCTCCTTTTCCGATCTTAGGAAACTTTCCACTCTGTTCCCTAAAAACCAACTAACCAAGGCTACACTAGGGAACAAATGTTGTGCAACACGTCTCGCCAGAGACGTTGGGAGAAGTAGCACAACGTTGCCGGACTTCGTTCAACCTGTTTGGCAACATCCCAGATGTGGAAACTATCGTTTCTTTTCTTCTCCTCTTATAACATCTTCTGATTCACTTCGTTGCGGGAACCAAGACAGTTATTCATGTCCCTGGGACGCGCCGGACTTCAATGTTCCGGTGTTTTCATAGTTGTATCTACTGTAGATCCTGGCTTACAGGAGTTGCAGTGGTTTTGGGAGGTGGCGGCGGACAGGTCCCAATAAAAAAAAAAAGACGTTGATGTTGACCGATGTCCGACAACGTATCCTTGACTTGATAATATGTCTATGTGTTATGATTACTGCACATCCATAGAGAGACTTGTTTCTCCATCAAGCATCCCTGTGCGGGACAGCACGTGACCATTATGACACCATCTCCTCTGAGATCACTGACTAAAAAGGACTTTACGTAAACCAGGGTTAATAGAATTCGGAGCCGCAGAAGGCCTAACGGGTTGCCGGGGCTCCGGCTCGAAGTGCAAGAGTAGGATCGGGGTGGTTTTTAGTCCGTAAGAGTCTGACATTCCCTCTCGCCTAAGCCAAGGCGGAAGAAGTGATTGGGTATACTGGTGCAGTTTCCCAATATGTATTTACCCCTTTTTTGTATCTATTTATACATTTAATTCTGTGAATATGGCATATAATCATACCAATACCTTCAAACCTTCAAGAAAAGAGCGTTTTCCTTTTTAAAAGGCCGGCAACGCTCCTGTGTCTCCTCTGGTGTTGCGGGTGTCCACGGGCGGCGCTGATCGCTTACCATCAGGTGATCCGTCTGCTCCTTTGCCTCCTATTCCATAAAAAAATACCATTCAGTACGTAAGTACCTAATTATTTAATGGTTGAAGTAATTTTTTGCAAGCGATGTCTTAGGAAAGAAGTTGTATAAACAGGACTGTTTGTCAATACACAAACTAGTTATTTGTACACATCCTCCTGTGTTTAGAAAATTGCATATTTACGAATAATGTCCGTCTATTTGTCATTGTGTGCTCAAGATTTAATATGAACACTTATGTGCCAGTGAGAAAGATTATTAAGGTCGTTTCTGCACAACGCTGTTCTAGTAAGTATTTTTTCAAAGATATTCCAACTCACACATTGTTTTCTCCAAAAATATCTCAATTGATCTCAACCTTCTCCGTATGAGATGAGGTTATGCTTAGGAGTGGGTATTTATAGGCTGTTGATGATGATAATTTTTTTTTATAACATAAGCCGGTAAACGAACAGACGGATCACCTGATGGTAAGCAATCGGCGCCACCCATGGACACTCGAAACACCAAGGCATTACAAGTGCGTTACCGGCCTTTTGAGAATTGGGTATTTGCGGATTGTGGAGGATTCGGGGATTCGGGAGACGGGGCCTAGGGAGGGGGGTAATTGGGCCTCCGGTAACCTCACTCACACGACGAACACAACGCAAGCGTTATTTCACGTCGGTTTTCTGTGAGGCCGTTGTATCACTCCGGTCGAGCCGGCCCATTCATGCCGAAGCATGGCTCTCCCACATGATTATCATGATTCAATTTGATATTTATAGGACGAGAACGCCATTCATCTCTTCAAGAATGTTTGGACTCAGTCATAGAGAATCGGAGACGTCGATGGAGGTGGAAACCGTGTGGTGTTCTCATCTGCCTGACAGCTGCATTGCTGTATTTCGCTGTAACTAAACAAATCGACAAAATCTACTATGCTAAGACTCAGGAACAGTCTAATGATAAATGTAAGTGTAAAAATGAATAAAATAAACCCAGTAATAGTTTTTGCATAACAACGTATGACGTGTTTTTATAATAACTATCGTGAGACATACTAAGTTAACTAAAAATCGCGGGTTACCCACGTGAATATACTGAGAATAGCTCTACTAGTTTCGAACCACAGAGGGGTTCTTCCTCATGAGCAGCGTGCGCGGTCGCGGCGATGTCGCGCAGCCTACTGACGTATGACGTCACCACTAACGGTACACCTTTTATTTCTCTAAGGTATAAGCAGAGCCGTAGGCACATTCATGACATAGTTGGTAAAAAGTCGGTGTCCCATCCACTTTTCATCAGTTATATCAAGAGTTCCTTGTCATAAAGGGATGCCTATGACATAAACCAGACTCCATGCTACAAAAGTATTCTCGAAAGACTGAATACAAGCCAATGATGGCTTGCCTGCCCTGAGTCGACTACGCACTTCTCTTATTACATTATATTCCTCATATCATGTTGTGGATTCCATAATGAATCTATTAAGTTTCTTTTTACTATCGTTACAGACGAGGAGAATCCTACAACATCCTCAATAGATACGCCTCTCAATGCCAACGCTACTAGTAAGTAATTTAGTACAATACATATAGTTAGTACTACATACATTCAGGGCCGTATTATCCATAAAGCAAATTGGACAAGTACCTAGAGCGCAAAGATACAAAGGGTTTGAAGTAACCCAAAAAAAAATAGGGACGCCTATGAGGTGCTTGACTACCACGCTCTATTTACGCCACTGTATTTACGCTTCAAGCAAGCGCAATAATGTGTCTTAATCACAATTTGTTTGATTTGTTTATACTTACATATTACCCCAATGATGTTTGTCTAAATAAAATGATTGATTTCTAATAAAAGCATACAGCAAACTACTAAATAATAATATTTTATAATTGCCTGTTACAGAGACTTCATCAGTAAAATACAACGACCTACCATTATGTATTCGCAGAAGACCGCACAATGAATCAGTGAAGGCCTTAGGTATTTTATTCTATTTTTGAATTAGGTAGTCGACTAATTTTTATTTTAATGTCCGTCTTGTAGATTGTTTAAAAACGTAAGACACGTATTTTTTAATTTTTTTACGGAAGCAAATAGTTTCGAAGATAATATTGATTTGAAATATCGCATGACGTTACTTTTGATATAATATAAAATGACGTAGATGTTTTATCTAATTATTGTTCTCTAAAAACGACAAAATAAAAAAATAGATACGTGTCTAATATTTTTTCATTACCTAACTGACGGACTAATTAGATTTTCAATTTTCAAGTCTTGTCATTATCCCTATTCTATTCTTTACATAGTATATGATCCATTACACAATAAGGTTTTCTGCTCTCAGACGAGTGCCAATTTCTAAGATATTCGACGCAGCTGACAGCACCAGTTACTACCAGGACGTAACAGCTATAATATGAATGAGTTCTATGTACCTTTTAAGGAAAACTCAATACTTCAATAGTGAAAATTTTATTCTAAACGGAAGTTTGTGTTATTACTAGGAGTGTTTCAAAACCGAAAAACCCAATCCAATAGGTATTCTCCCCTAAATATAAGGTACAAATAAGAAACTAATGACAGTGATAACTGGCGAACAATGTATGTACACTAACACTATCCTATCTCTGTCTTTACGGAGCCGCGAAGAACGTAAAAGTTTACCAGGGCTCCGGCTCGAAGTACTGGAGTAGAAACAGGGTGGTTCTTAGTTAGTAAGAGTCTGACTTCTCCCGCCTCACCCAGGCGGTAAAAGTAACTCGATAATTTTCCTTCCTTAAAAAAATCCTATCTCTGCTTTCTATCTGAAATAATCAATGTTATGTTGTAAAGTTATATTTCCTTGTGTTTCAGCAAAATTTCACTTGAATCTGACCAGTGTGAATATATCGCAGGAGAATATTTTCCCAGGTGTTCTAAAAGGAGGTTTCTATCATCCACCGGCTTGTAGAAATAGATTCAGAGTTGGGATTATTGTGCCTTACAGGTATAGTCATTATCTTTTTTTGGTATAGGCTGGCAAGAGCAGATGGATCACCTGATGATAAGCTGTCGGCGCCACCTATGTACACGACACCCAAAGAGCTGCAATTGTGTTGCTAGCCTTTCGAGGGTTAGATATTTGAGAAATGTGGATTTAGCATTTATTATATTGTCCTCATTATTATTATTAAAAGTCAAATTAATGTAGTATTGGTTTTCAGGAACCGAGAACAAAATCTGGGTATTTTCTTAAACAACATCCATCCGTTTTTGATGCGTCAGAAACTTGAATATCAAATATTTGTCATCGAGCAAAATGGTGAGCTGCCTACCACGATTTACGATACTAACTGACATTCAAATAAATATGGCCCATAGATAGTCTGAAGGTAGTCTGCGTTTTGATTTACGTTAATACGACCGACACGTTTATGACTTTCGGCGCTCTAAATTGGCCTGTTCCAATTAATCAATAAATCAGAAGGCTAAAATCGGAAACGTAAAAGCAAATTGGCACTAGGCATAAAATATCATCCTAAAATCATTTATCCCCGAAGGGTTAGGCAAAGGCGCAAATTACGGCACCTAATGCCACTGTATATAACACCGTCTTTTCACTATTTATGTTATGAGTCCCATGTAATAGGGGTTGAGCCTATTGCCATATACCGGGCACAATTCCAGACTCCGTGCTACTACTGAGATACTTTAAAAAAACCCAGTAATAGTTTGGCCAACCCGGGAATCGAACCCGAGACCCCTTGCCCGGCAGTCGGCACTCGGCCTAAATGTTTAATTAGACAAATACATTTATAGTGTACTGTAAACTATTCTTAAAATTTTACAGGTAACGGTCCATTTAACAAAGGTCGCCTGTTCAACGCAGGGTATAAAGAAATGATAAAGTTTAACAAGTTTTTTTGTGTCATATTCCATGACTTGGACTTGTTACCTCTTAACGAGAACATTATGTATAATTGCCCGACTTTGCCTAGACATATGTGTGCCCACGTTAATGACACCGACATTCGAAGGAAATTTAAGTAAGTTTCTGAAACCTGAGAAATTTTGAGTCCCCATTCATTTAATTTCATATCTGAGGTCTGATTGTGATTTAGTTGCTGAATTAATTTAAGTAGCGGATAATTTGGTTTCTTTACTATGAAATATGCCGGTCGGCAGTCTAATAGTAACTTCGCGATTGTTAAATAGATAAAAAATCTGATGTTAAAACAATCAATTTTTTATGGCATAAGCCGGTAAACGAGCAGACGGATCACCTGATGGTAGATAAGCAATCGGCGACGCCCATGGACACCTGGAACACAAGTGCGTTACCGGGATTAGGAGTTTGAGGTTCGTTGGGGATTCAGGGCATTTCAGGGGTTGGAGAGATTGAGAAAGGGGAGGGTAATTAGGCCTCCCCAGGCATTTAATGATAATTTTTCTACATTTCCAGTATAACATACTCGTATAAATCCCTATTCGGTGGTGTGGTCTCAATGACTATGGAACAGTTCGAGAGGGCTAATGGTTTCTCCAACTTATACTTCGGATGGGGGGCTGAGGACAATGACATGTTCTGGAGGTGAGAAGACAACAATAACTTAGACATTTGAAACCCGGGGCTTTAAATTCATCGTCATCACCAGTTTCTACCGGCCAGTCTATGTGACAAGTGTAAAATGCTTTTAATTGTTTAAAGAATTAATCCTTACTAATATTATAAATCGGAAAGTGAGTTTGTTTGTTCCACTTTCACGCCGTAACTACTTAACTGATTGCTTTGAATTTTTGCAGACGTGAAATTAGAAGTCTGGATTAAATAATAGGATACTTTTTATCCCGGAAAAATTTGATATTCTCGAGGGAAAACAAAATTATTGGTACAGATGGCGCAGTGTGTATTGGTTTATGTCACATAGGCTACTTTTTATCCTTTTGTGATGCGAGCGAAGCCGCGGGTATAAGCTAGTTTTTTATAATTAGAATTACTTCCTCCGAATTCCGCCATTGATTCCTGGTGTTTAGGGCTTCTTCTGCACGTTGAGACGCTCCTGAGTGAAGATCTTCCATATTCCAGGCTTCATGCTGCCGGGTACCCAGTGGTGAGATATCAAAAGACTGTGGGAGTGTATCTCGTGTTGCCACATAAAAGAGAACCAGCCAATCCTTACAGGTAATTTACTATGGCTTAATAAACATACAAATACAAAATTGTCACGACTTACTTATGATCCCAAAGGTGGAGTGGAGGTAGACCACATTTTTTATGTAAAACTCACTTTCAAGTTACCACCGATAGATTAGATTTATGTAGGTATCTAAATAGGGCGTGAATTGTCCTACACTACTCAGTAATAACTGAACAATCCTTACTAATATTATAAATCGGCAAGTGAGTTTGTTTGTTTATTTATTTGTTCCAGTTTCACGCCGTAATTACTAAACCGATTGCTTTGAATTTTTACAGACGTAAAGTTAGAAGTCCGGATTAAATAATAGGATACTTTTTATCCCGGGATTAAAATGTGATATTCCCGAGGGAAAACAAAAGTATTGGTATAGATGGCGCAGTGTGTATTGGTTTATGTCACATAGGCTACTTTTTATCCTTTTGTGATGCGAGCGAAGCCGCGGGTAAAAGCTAGTTTTTCGATAAATTAAAAACAATATTCATTAGGTTGGTAGCTAACGCATTTGTTAAATGTGACTTGTGACTAAAATTACGGTATTTACCTAATATTAGTTTAAATTAAACTTAGGTATTTGATAGGTGTACCACAGAACACGTGAGATATTCCTCTCTGAATTTAATTAATTCTGTTTATTAGTAGGGGAAGGCATTCGATTGTTTCAAACACTAAATGAATTAGATATCCATGTGCTAACAGAGACCTAATAATAATGATTGGGTTTGTATGTAACAGGGTAGATGACTAATTTTTATTTTAATGTCCGTCTGGTAGACTATTTAAAAACATTAGACACGTATTTTTTATTTTCTTACGGAAATGAATAGTTTTGACGATATATTGATTTGAAATGTCGCGTGACGTCACTTCTATGTAGGTAGGTACATTATAAATGTAGAAATGACGTTTTAGCCCCCACTCCTAAACTTTGATTCGTTGTATTTGTATCTAAGTATCATTTTATTATACAAGCAAATAAAAAATTATATGTGTAATATTTTTTCATTACCTAACTGACGGACTTATTACATTTTTTTAGCGGGTTTGTGTCAGTCGTTGTAATTGTCAGTGCTCGGGGTCTCCTGAGGATAGGGGGGCACGAAGCACGGCACCTGGGCACGGGCTCCGTGTGCCGTTATGATAAAGACGGTATACTAAATTTTTTTTTTGAGGCGGGAAAATCATCCATTAACTTCTTCCGCCCGGGTGAGGCGAGAGGGAGTCTTAGACTCTTACTGACTAAAAACACAAAACAAAAAAAAAGATATTCAAGTATTTATATAATGTACACGCCTTCTTTATATGTTCTGTGGCACATATACAGGTGGTTAATTTGTCTGCAGTTACTCTCTACATCTTAATTAGAATATTGTTAAGTATGTCTATGCCTTGGGAATTGAATATTCTATTAAAATATATATCATTTCAGGCACCACCTCCTCAGCAGAGCTGTGGAAAGGTACAAACAAGATGGCCTCTCCAGCTTGGAATATTATGTCCTGGCTACGTATTTCCGTCATCTTTGCACGCATATTGTCGTTGAAATTAACCCAAGGGGTGACAATATAACTGCTCTAAACCTTAAATGGGGTAAAAGTTATCATAAATTCTAATTATTACTGATGCAACGCGAGTTAAATCTAAAGAGTGTTCTAGGTGAGCACTTCATAGGCGTTCCTAATTTGTTTTATCGCCGCCGTGCCGTCACTCTAGGGCACGCGTTACTCGCGGAGCAGAGGCCTTAGTACAAGTTTGTTTTACGTTCAAAGTAATCGTAACGAGTACGCGTTCGGCGCTCTGATTGGTTGCTTCAATGGCGCCGTCCAATCAGAGTGCCGAACGCGTACTCGTTTCGAATACTTTCAACGTAAATCAACTCGTACTAAGGCCTCAGATTATGTATATGTGCAGTATTCCGTTACACACGACGACACAGGGAATTCTCCCGCGTTTCTACTCTTTACGAAAACCAATAATTTATTATGTCTCACTAAAGCTATAATATAAACATATTTAATCATTATAATATAGGTAATTACAATAAAGAGAAAATGAGAAAACTATAGATCTTGAGATAGTATGAAGGTATAAGTATAATAAAAACTTTTTGTTCATAATTAGAATTTTATTTCTGAGATAAAATAAAAATTGTTAATAACAGTAAAAAGTCTTGTAGATACTAGACATGATGAGAATATGATTATCAAGAGCCTTATGTTACAAGTTACTCTATGATCAAGAGAATGAGAGGTCCAGTGTTGCTTTGTTTGGTCCACGTTTTTCTTATCTGTTGTCGTATTTCTTGTATTATACGATAGATGTCGCTGTAAACAATAATCTGATTGTCAAATTGCTATAAATGTTAAATAGGTATTTTATAATAATACTTAATTTTACTGTAAAAATATACAAGTTTATCGATTTTAACATAAATCAATCCAAAATATATTGTATTAATAAAATATTTTGTGTGAATTGGATCGTATAAAATTGTGTTGTCACTCTTTTAAATTCTCCTTGAGTCAGGGTAAAAATAATATTGTGTAAACCATATAAAAAATTGTATTATATATCATAACCAGTTTCTCTCATTGTATCGCAATTAAAATTTACTATTATTACATGCTTTCATTGACTTTCCTTGTCGATAAATATAAACGTTACCTCAAATCCGGGATTTTACCAATAAGATGAAATCAGATGATTTTACACTGATTAAGATTTTCCCACAAAGGTATTTATTACCGTGAGCGTGCAACACAGTCTCGTTTTTTTCTTGGCTTATGTCAGTTTGATATTGCGGTTTGCGGTAGTCAGTGACTGCTCAGTGTGTGTTTTCCGCATTGACAATATTTCTAATTTTCGCACTTTCACCCGTTAATTATTATCACATTGTGTAATAAGTAATTTTATAACCGTGTCATAATAACTGTTGCAACGTGTGTTTACTGAAGCCGACGGTGAAATTAATCTAAACCGTGTGGGCCGTGTTTTTTCTTCGAAGACTTGTTTTTTCTGTGTATCGTTTTGATTTTTGGCGCAACCTGTTTGGGAATTTTGAATTGACTGAAAACAAGGTAAGGAGCATGTTTGGAAATATTTATATATGGAGTGTTATTGTAAAAAATGCGTTTCTAACATAGTCTATTTAAAGAAACCTGTTTTCCTATAAGTTCTTACGTAGCTATATTGTTTTTGTTTAGTATAACATTTTCCTCAGTAAGTTGTTAGTGATTTGCAACACATGAGCACAATGAATACCGACCGTGTGTGAAGCATGGAAAGTTTTACGTAGTTTTATTTATATTAGAATTAAACCTTGAAAACAGGCATAAACATTCACATGATTTATTAACTTCTAAGTTTTATATTGCTTACTTCAGATTGAGATGAATATCCATAAAAACGAACAGACTTTATTTTTCCTGAATTTATGCCAAATTCCCAACTAGGTACATAGCATAGAGTTAGCATAGCAACTTACTTTTTTAATTATTTTTTTTAATTACATACTCATGACAATTCATGTCTAATCTTCCAATTTACCTACATATTATTATGAACTAGTAACATTAAAAAAAATATCATGATTCATAAGACTTAGTTACAAAATCTTTCAGTTCAACTATATTCTTATTCTAGCTCCTCTTACACCATTTCGCCTTCTGCTTGACTCCTATAGGTTGTAGCCAAATGTTTTATGTCCAATGACCTTCCTCAATTAATGTACTGTCCAACACAAAAACATTTCTTTTTATTCGGAGCACTGGTTCCGCAGATTAGCGCATTCAACCAATAAAACTCTTGTAACCTAGATATAATAATTGTATATTTTTTATCTGTAGTTTATATAGTCCAGAGTAGCAATAAAGATATGAAGTAAATGCAATATGTACCATACATAATATTATTATAAAAATACAGAATTCACAGATAAAAGCTTTTTTATCTGTGAATTCTGTATTGCAGTTGCGACTTTAATCAAAATATTTCCTTATAAAAATATTATTTATTGGTTATTGTATTTCATGCATTTAATTTTGACACAGTTTTTTTTAATTAATAATAAATCTAATTTATCCACTATTTAATAAAAATACAATTATTTTACTACCCAGTTAATTTTTTATTTAAGTAATCAAAAAAGAAATTACAAAATGGTAATTAAATTGGTTAGTTAATTTATTATAACAACTATCATAATTTTTTTATGTAATTACATCCAAATGTCATTGAACTAAACCAACTAACCAACTAAATTCATCAAAATATTATATTGTTAAAGTCCCTGTAATAAAAAAAAACAATTAAGCTATTGTAACACCACCCTCCATCTTAAATTAACCATAAACAAACATAGAACCAACAAAAAAGTATTTTGTCCAGCAAACCTCTAGTCTATGCTTGTTGCCAATGTGTGCAGTTTAGCACTCTAATATTGATATGACCTCCACAAGTGTACCTATTGTCTTGAGGATGTGCCCATTGAAGTGATTGCACTATAATTTAATTTAAATTTTTCCCATGTGCAGTAATGGCCGCTCTCCTATATTATCTGTATTTGCTACACTTTGTTATGTCAATGTTCTTAGGTAATTATAAGCAATTGAAAAGTAACTAACTAAGAGACACTTGTTTTTTGTTCTTAAGGTCTATTTTACAATATCGACTGATTAAGTTGCTGTTGTTAACAATACAAAATGTTTTATTTGTATGGATAATACGTCATACCTAGTTAATAATAATGTGTCAATTAAGCTAACAGTAGTCATTAGACATTGTGAAAAAGGTTCATATTGTTGGAATTTATTTCTGCATTAATTATCTTAACTAGGTGCCTACCAATACTTATTATTATTATAAGATATTAGTTTTTCCTCAAAACACAATAACATTATGCATTATACATATGTATTGTACATTGCACTGCCTATACTAATTTTTTATCAAGCTTACTTCTAATAGCGCGTTACGTAAAGCGCCGAAACATTCACGATATTAAAATAAACCACCTTGGCTTTTTAACCGACCAAAAACAATCTAATTTTTTTTTTTAAAACCTACCATACTTAGATATGTTAAAACACCTCAAAAGTTACTTGTCACAATTTACTAACTAGTTATTCACTATTGACCGCGAGATTCTAGGTTAGATCCTAACCCAGTCATATCGTCTAGTTATAACAACTTACTAAATTTTTTTGCCGCGACTTCTAAAATTACGTCCACTGACTATCAAAAGATTTGCACTCTATTGCTCTCAATCGATTTCGAAGTTTGATTGGCACAGTGACAGCAATAGGGTAGTTTCCTAAATTTTATTTAAATGTCCGTCTGGTACATTAATTTAAAACTTTAGACACGTATTTTTTCTTTTCTCACAATATTAAATACTTTCGACGATATATTAACTCGTCGAGTACCGGTTTTATAGACACAATTAAAGAACAATAGGTCGCGGTCACCGGTGACCGCTTGGTGTTTGACAGTTTAATTTGAAATATCGTGGGACGTCACCACAGCGTGTCACATTTTGTAGCACGTTATGACGTAACGACCCCACACTCCTAAACTTAGTGCCATTTTTAAAGTATTAAGAAAATAAAGAAATACGTATCTAATATTTTTTCATTATCTAACCGACGGACTAATTAGATTTTTAATTTTGGTACCCTGGAAACTACCCAATTACCCTATATTATATTATTATTAGATATAAGTACACGCAGAACACAGAAAATAAGGCTTAACATGAAGGTCTGAAATAATAAATTAGGTAATTATGCAACAGTCTGGCATTGCGCACGTGATGAATTAAATCGCCAAACGCACCATGGAATTGGACTAACTATTAAAATCGACGTCGAAATGAAATAATCAACTCTATTTTTAAAGAGATAAAGTTTAATAGTAAAAAACTGACTTTAATTACCTAGTTATAATATATAAGGTTCATAGTTCAATAACTTTAATACAGTGCGTTCTTATTCGACCTCATCTGATTCTTAGCGCCACGTCTTTGTGACGTAAGCAGCAAAGGCCGTTCTTATTGACATTATACTTAGTTGTAATGCGTTTCCCATGTTGTTTCTAGATTAGCTATGCGTAAAGAGTCCGGTAATCTATTGATCGAAGCTCTATGGTAGTGTATGTAGTTAGTGCTAACTATGTAAGTATTGAATGATTCAATATCGATTTAAATACCTAGTTAAACATCGTGCTGCTGCTCTAAGCGTCATAGCGTAAGTAAAATTTTCTAATAAGACAATAGTTCTATTAGAAAACCACTAATAAGTGGTAGTTACCAAAAAAAATAATCAGGCTAGTAGTTCACGAGATTAACATTATAAAAAAAAGAAATATCTTTCGTAGTTAATTATCCATAATTTGAACTATTTACGAATAAATCGATTGCAAGAAATACATAATTCGTTAATTGATTTTATACCTGATACCAAACTTTTCATATGAATTCTTTAACCGTCGAATAAATTCATGGCTTTACTGAGTGAATAGATATATAAATGAGTTTAAAATGTATGTTTGGTTATCATAATGATAGGTAGGTATTTCTAATTTATCACATTCGACATTATCTGTACATAAATCCTGTATTGTGCGGCCTGATTTGTTATCAAAGCATAATCTTGTAATACGAGTACAAGTACGAATCAATTAACTGCCTATTACATTTTTGACAAAGATATTAACTGTTAAAATATATAATATAGACTGGAACCTAAATTCCGATTGCAGCGCCAACTGCCGGGCTGATTTGTGAATATAAAGCATCTAAGGCGCCACTCAAACGCATACAGAAAAAAATCATTTAAATCGGTCAAGCCGTTTAGGAGGAGTACAATGACATAAACACCTACAGCACAATTATATGTATATAGGTTAGGTATAAAAATAGGCAACCTTTTTTTAGGATGAGGCCCTGGATGAGGCGGGAAGGAGTGTCAGACTCTTGACTCATTACACAATATTAATCCGATACGTTATCATCCGATCCGAACTAAATCGGAGACTATAATTAACTTCTTGCGACATTATGACTTGATAACTAAATAAATGATTATTATTATTATTTGTAATTATGATCTATGGAGGATTATGCGTCATGTAACTACCGGTTTTCCCCTGAATGCCTATGCAAGGATAAGTACCTAATAAGGATGTTATCCTTATCCTATATGTAGGTAATCACAATAACGGGGTCTTTTATTTAGTACCCATAAAACAAAATGTAGTAGTTCCATTTTCACAAAATTTACCCTGAGCCCCATGTAGGACCAATTTAACTATTTCAAACTCATTTTCTATTCTAACTCCTTGATAAAAGTGAGCAACGACTGTCGCAACCGAGGGCTGGGCTCGCTGTTATTGCAGCGGTAAGTCCCCTCTTTGAAAAGTGGCTTGAGAGACGCTATGGCGCGGCGTCCTCAAAGAGCCGTCAGACTCCCACAGAAGAGGCTCAATAGGGCTGATGCTGATACAGAACCGCTGAAGACTTAACGGTTTGCTGGGGCTCCGGCTCAAAGTGCAGGAGTATGAACGGAGTGGTTTTTAGTCAGTAAGACACTCCTCGCCTCATCCGGACGGGAGAAGTCATTGGACGATTTTCTCCTCAGAAAAGAAGTCTATGAACGATGAAAGAAACGAGAATGTTGGTTATGTTATGGGTAGCTAAGTATAACTAGATAATAGAGATACAAACTAACATTTGTTAGGTATTTATGAATGATATGAAACTAAAGGAACAAACTAATCTTATCTTTCCCCTACAACTATCCACTGCTGACATCATTTAAATATTCGATTAGAACAACCGGTAGTTACTTATTACTCATATCACATACTGATTATCACGGATACATCACATATCCTGGAGGAAAATTATAAATAAATACGTTTTTTACATGAATCCGGGATGTGGTTTTGTGTGAAGTTGCCTTTTGACCTTTACCTAACGCGATGAATATCCTTAAGGACTTCTCTCGTTCGGACGACGAGGGATGTGCCTGTGTGTGTGACTTTTACCGGTTAAAGCATCTCGGTGTCCCTCTGACTGAGGCCTTACCTTAGCAACCCTATGAGGCTGCTTACTAAGCTACTGCATTAGCGCCTACGGGAGTAGGCGCTAATGCAGTAGCTTAGTAAGGGAGCCCATACAGCAGACGTCTGAACACTTCTAATAACTTATTTAGATCCTTAAACAACAAAGCCTATCAATATCCTCGTGGTAGTTGGTTAAAAACATATCCTTAAAAAGTATCCTATTAACCAAAATCTTATTTTTTCCAGTGGCTTTCCCCGTCCTATCTTGAAGACTGAAAATTCCCTGGATCCCTTAAATCCTCGAAGCCAATCCAGTCAGTTATGGCTGGTTT